TTTTGCTTTTATGCTGTTTGTGTAACTCTCTCACAACTATAACGGGACTACTAAGGGGCGTGAAGCTGACCACTCATCTCCAACTAGTGTGTAGGTCAAGAAAATGTGGATCAATACTTCCACTCCCCCATATGCCTTCATGGCATAATGTTTAATTAGTTAAGCAAAGGGACAACTTTACCTTTTATAACAGGATCACTAACTCAATCACTCCTTGGATCATAGTCCTCCTTGAGAAGCTGTCTCTAAGCTACTGAGTTCTCCACCTGTTATGCAACTTACATGTTTGCAAAATATGAGGGTCTTGTGGTGGTGGCTATAAAGAGTACTGTTTTCTGGGATATGACACTGCATAATCTGGTAGAACTTACTGATGTTTTGGGCTGGGCCATAGCTCAAGCGGTTAGTGGCTGGCTCCCCACCGCGGCGGCCCGGGTTCGATCCCGGGTCTAGTCAAGTGGGATTTGTGGTGGACAAAGTGGCGCTGGGGCAGGTTTTCTCCGAGTACTTCGGTTTCCCTCGCCAATCTTCATTCCACCAAATTCTTCATCATCATACTCACCCGGAGCAGGTACAATAGGCCAATCAGTGGCCGCCATGCCGAGTGGACCCAGTTGGACTCCACCCCCCACCCCCCCACTAAGCGAAATACTAATGTTTTAGTAGAATGTACTGCTTCCATCTTCATAGCGAGCTCAGCAAGCATAGTAAGCAGAATGAGTTACAGATATAGGCTGGGAATGGGAAATTGATGTTAGAACCCTTCGAACAGAGGGCAGGAAGAGACTGTGATTTAAGTATTTCAACCTATAGACACTGTTAATTTTGTTGATTTAAATTTTCCATGAACGTCAGTACTACTGACCACTTGATGATTCCAGCGACTCAAATATGTAAAAGAGTGTAAAGAGAGATGTATTAATGAACTGTGGTCATCAGATGGGAAATCTGAATGAAAACAAGCAATGCTAAAGACAGCCAGAATTAGACAACAAAAGTACTGAACACATACAGTTGGTGCAGTTCATTTTTGTTTAGATTTCTGATGCCTCACATATCATCAAAATGAGTACATAAGTGGATATTTAAGTGCACATTAATTCACCTACTGTTTTTCATTTCATTGTTGGCACTAAAATTAGCCAACAAGTGGCGGTCGCTCATGCGGTATAGTTCACTTGTGGACTAAAATCACAGAGTTTGTTTGCTTGTTATTCAATTTAGAAACAAAGACGTTCACAAACGAAATTATTCACAGGCTGGACTAGTAGGCAACTTTCAGTTTTAATGTCAGGATATTTTAAGGACCATAAACAATGAACCTCTGTTCAAAATAAGCCTAATAGTTCTGTGTTCTAATGTATGTGATACAAGTTCAATAATCTGGAATTTTTTTTTTCATTTCTTTGTAACCGTTTATATTGCAAACAAAAAGCATCTTGGACACTGACTGCACCTGAGCACATCTTGAGAAGCCGCCACCAGTTGCACAGCTACTCAAGAATTTCCCCAAATTTTATGGAACCAAAAAGTTCTTCACCGTGTTCACAGGAACCCTCCACTGGTCCCTATCCTAAGCCAGATCAATCCAGTCCATACCACTTCCATCCTGTATCTTTAAGATACATCTTAGTATTGTCCTCCCACATACACCTAGGTCTTCCTAGTGGTTTCTTTCCTTCTGGCTTTCCAACCAAAAAACGATATGCATTCCTCGTCGACCCCATGCATGCTATATGCCCTGCCCATCTCATCCTCCTTGGCTTGATCGTTCTAATTATACTAGGCAAAGAGTACAACTTATGAAGCTCCTAATTATGCAGTTTTGTTCCTACACTTAGCAATGTTAATACATAAACACACCTTTATAATTGTGATTCCTATGACAAAGTCATCACTTGACTGAGACCTAGTAAATGCATCAATTGATATAATTTCTGTTCCATCTGTAAGGAAAAAAAAATCTTATGTACATGCATGCACTGGAAGGCAGTTCAGAGATGTGGATGGGAAATTTTTATGGAAAATATCAGAAAACATTTCAGGAACTGTTTCTTTTATTCAAAAGAATCACTCAAGATAGAAAGTTAAAGATACATTTTTTCAACCCATACATAGCAGAATCATTAAAAAAAAGTCTTACATTGTTTAGTATGGCACCTTTGGTTCTTTTGTTGCCTGATACATTATTTCATTTTTGTTAATAATTAATGTATTGCACCAAAATAGGGATTGCACATTCAAATTATCATCATCTCCAGAATTTCTGACTGGTTTCTTAACCACACAGAAATGATTTCCAAAAATTTTCCCATAAAAATGTTTCCGGAGAATGAAGTGCCTTTAATTTCTTTTGTATTAATAATAGAATCATTCATGTCTCAGGAATTTAAATAAATGAATAACCATCAGTAAGAATTTACTTACTTGGAATGTAAGTGAATAACACTTCTTTCACTGTTGGGTTCAAGAATCCATCAGAATCCCCGGAATATTCAAATGAGAAAACTTTACGGCGAAGAGACGCAGCAAGAATCTTGTTTCCGCCTTTTGACATACAAAGTTTGGTCAGAGAATAAACATTCCCTTGAGAAGGCAACACAAAATAATGTGCATCTATTATATTCTCCATCACTCCTTTCGATATGGCCATTCTGCAAATAGTGACCACAACCAAACAATTCTTCAGTATAAACACTCATCTGAAATTCTCCATTGTAATGTGTACAAGAGATATACATATAAGATAAACCACACTGATAGATCTGAAACCTTGTGCACTCATAACAGAGAACATTTCTGTCCAGGCCATAACATTGAAACTGACATGAGTGAATACTGACCACAGATGATTCTATTTGGAGCTGACAATGATAGTACTTATATATGAAAATGTCTTCATTAGAAAGGTAATTCCACTCCATACTTTTTCTAAAGCATGTGACATTCTGTGGGAGCTTATATTAAACTCTTCAGTGTCCACTCCTCTACATTTAGGACCTCAATTTGTGCTCCATTTCTCCTTTCTTAATATCACAAGACCCTGTCACTCAGCTGCAATTTATTTCTGCATTTGACACTAAACTACACCTAATTCAAATGACCTGAGAATATGACATGTAGGTGTGTGACAATACAGTGAAAAATTAGCACTTTTCAGGGATAAAATGACACTGAGGCTCCATACAGTCATATGCTTTTTAAACTTTATGGAACTTGGTTTTCTGTGGTGTCATCACAATGCATTGTACAGGCAGATGTCTCCTTCCCAAGAAGATTAAAATTATCTTGCATCAGTAGCCACAATAATGCCAATACTCTCTTATGAAAAAACACAAGGTATGTACAGTACATGTGAACATATCTTGATTATAATATGACATTTACAGTGAAATCTATTTATAGTTATCACAGTTATTTTGGATTGTTGGCCTAGTACTATTACAGTGTTTGAATCAAGGTTGCTGTGGACAGTGAAAGACTTTTGTACAAAATGTCAGGTGAGAAATCTCAAGAGAAGAGGAAAAATAAGATTTGTATGTGAAATGAATTTAACTGACTCTCAGAATCCAAAAGCTTAGGTCACAACCATGATGAACATTCCTCATGTGCCATAACAAAAGGAAATTACTATCAGCCGCTCTGGGAATATTCTGTGCCAGGATGCACAACTGCTCAATTCTATTCTGGTTACCATTGTTTTTAAACTCTCTCTTCTAGAGGTGTAACATGTTGTAAGACATGTATGTTTCAAGCAAAGAACAAAAATAAATATGACACCATGTTTACATATACAGCCTAACAGAAGTGAATATTACTCTTCAAAATGTTTACTGTATTAACTACATGCTACATCCAAAACAGTTTTAAAGCAATGACTGTACAGAGTAACTCTAATCCCCTTCTTTACGTATCATACACAAATAAGCCAAGAAGTGATTGTGAATATGCTCCTGATGTTCATAACAATACTTTTAAATTATCTGAAACACTGTAAATATACTCAAGAACCAGCAAAGCAATACTGCTGGGAAAATACTAAGATGCCCAAATTTTTAACACTGAATCATGAGGCAAAGACAAAGTCCTGCAGATCATTCTGTGAAGAAAATATGTCCAGTTTATGAATTTTTAAAGCTATTTATGCTCTAAATTCCATTCATTCATTGGAACCTTTTGCAAAGAGTACCAACAGTCTATCAATCTTGACTGTCCTAAGTGTGCCAAATTTAAGAACAACAATGTTAGGGCCATTTGGAGTTTGTAGCAGACAGTACTGTTCTGGGACAGGTTTGTGTGGGCCTCTTCCCTGCTGCTCATTTCATCACCTCTAATAACTAACTTCATTGAGGTGAGCCCTTCTTGAGAAGCTGCCTGTCATGCAGCTACTCAGGAACTTCCCACCATTTTATGGAACCCAAAGGTTCATTACTGTGTTCACAAGAACCCTCTATTGGTCATTATCCTTAGCCAGATCAATCCATTCCATACCACCCCATCCTATGTAAGATCCATTTTATTATTATCTGCCCACTTACGCCTTGGTCTTCATAGTGATCTTTGTCCTTCTGGCCTTCCCACCAATATGCTATATGCATTCTGCTTCTTCAAATTCATGCTACATTCCATGCCCATCTCAGTCTTAACTTGATCATTCTAATTATATTTGGCAAAGAGTACAAGTTATAAAGCTCTTCATTATGCAGTTTTCCTCAACCCCCTCTCACTTCATCCCTCTTTCATCCATATACACCCCAGCACCTTGTTCTCAGAACACCCACAATATAATGTTCCTCCTTTAATGTCAGAGACAAAGTTCATGCCCATACTAGACCAAAGGAAAAATTATATGTATGTATACTCTGTTACGTTTTTAGACAGCAGACACTAAGATAAAAGGTTCAGACTTAAAGGTAGCAAGCATTACCCGGATTTGGTCTCCTCTTCCCCTGAATCAAATTTTGATTTCTTACTGTCATTCCAAAATATCTGAACTGTGCCATATTTTCAAAGGTTCTATTAGCTGTCATTATATTATAATTTTGTCCTACATTTTGGTGATGAGACAGCAACACACATTTAGTTTTCTTTGCCTTTACTTTCAGACCAACCTCATTACGAGCGCCAATTAAAGTTTTTTTTTTCTTTATAGTATCTATGTTATCTCCCAGTAGATTCACATCATCAGCAGAGACCAGAAGCTGGACCTTCTTAATGACATATTCTAAAGCAAAGTTGAAAAACAGTGGCAATAAAGCATCTCCTTGTTTTAGCCCATTTTGGATAGGAAAATTATTAGATAAACATTTACCTACAGGGACTTTACCATATGTTTCATTTAAACTTCACCATCTCTAATATTAACACAAAATAACTTTATACAGACAGATGCAGTTCTATTAAATAACAAATCAGAATGAAAATATTCAAACAATCTCTACTTCAGACTGTAATTGTTTATGCTACTAAACTTTACTTCCATGTTAGCTGTGATGGGTATGACTCTCGAAGTTGTATGATTTGTTAAATATCTGAGGCTACCATAGTTTAAAGTACTCAGATATTCAATACTGAAATCCACACAGTGGTTACTACATACTTGTATCACAAAGAAAACAGATCACACACTTTAAAGCAGGTAACAGTGACATGAATTATTGTAATTTAAGGCCTTCGCAGAACATTTTTTGGAACATGTTAAAATGCTAGACTATCCACATATGAAAAATACCACTGATATCTTCAGATTTATATATGTTTTATATAGTTAGTACCTTCATGTCAGAGTTATACTCACAAGTTTTACTTATTTTTCAGAGTATGGTCTACTTTTTCACTATGTTGAGCACATATTTTAATGACACTTCTAGAGACAAGTTTGAATGTGTGCTTAAATGGCCTATCAGGAATGTATCTTACATTACAGATTTTTAGGCATGAATTGTTAAATTTAAACCAAATCAAATAATGTGTTGAACATGGTTTACTGAGCTTCACAAAGTAAACTTATATCACATACATCCTTCTGATAGGAAGGACTATTTCTAGAAAATTGATGTTTGCCTTTACTAAGTAAGATCTAAAAGTTTGTGATCATGGTATATTAACAAAATTATTTACTTTTCGGACAAGAGTTTTAAATAAAAAACAGGATGAGGGATAATGTCCAAAAAGACAATAACTATATTTTCCTTTACTGTTCAGAAACTGCATTTTAGACTCATTCACACAGTAACTAGATAAAGAACTATGGTTTCTAGATGGAGATTATTTATACCACACTGATACTTGGAAACACGCCAAGATTGCCTTCTTCCCAGTCCTCAAAAAGTTGTAATTCATATACTCATTCTAACAGCCAATTATATATATACAATTTGTACCAAGTGCAGTCAAATTGTTTATTCTTTTCCTCAGTGAGTTCAATAAATTCTGGAACAAGACCTTGAAACTGGCCATAAATCTACAATTCTGCATGACATATACCCCTGCTATTATAAACCAATACTATTAAAGACAAGTTTACTTCTCTGGCCATCAACCTGTTATTTCATTTCGTTTTATGCTCTTCACTGTTTTCCAGGCTGCTAAACGTACAACCCAGATCATGGAACTGGAGGCCAGGTTTTTAAGATTGGTAACCATTGTCTTTGAGTGAGTACATTTCTTATTCACTGCAAACGTAACACCCCCCCCCCCAAAAAAAGAAAACAAAAACTTCAAAATTTCATCCATAGGTACTTGAAACTGGGTTAACCAGTGAGAGTCTGAAAAGACAAGTGTATACTTTGTAACCTGTAAGTATTGTGATTCACTGTTTATTTTATAACTTCACAATTTCGCTTTTGTAAGGAAGCCTCAACTTCTCCTATTACATATAAATGTAAACTCCAACACGAACAAAATATTCGTTACAATTCCATTTTTTAAAAATGAGTTTCTAACATCCCATAGGCTTTATTCTGTTAACATAATAATGCCTAATGTCTGACTTTGCAGAAACTCTGTGACTGCAATGATATAGCATTACAGTTATCTTCATGAAGGTTGTCTCTGAGGTATGTGCAGTCGCTGGAAGTACTGCAATGCATTCAGCGCTGCTTCTAGCCCAATATTATATACAGGATGTATTAGTGCAAGCTCATTGTTTCGATTTCCCACAATATTTGCTTTTCCGTGTACAAAATGCTGTGCCACTGACAGGCCACTTAGTGTGTAACATGTGTGATAGATGTCCCGTGGCTTTGTTGGTTTGTCAACAAGGCCCCCTGATGAATTTTGACAACAGATCAAGACGTATTCTTGCAGAGCTTCCTGGTGGAATAACCATCGTTCCATGCTTACTGCATTTCCATCTTCCTGCATTAGTATTCTATGTAGCAAAGGAAATGCTCCACCCTGCCAAAAGGAGTAGCAACCATCCACAAGCTTGTTTGTACGGCCCTGAAAGCCACCTTCAAATCGCATTTGGCGGTTCACAATCCACCGCAGAAAAGACTTCATGTCACAAAGTTGCTCCTTTCCTAACAGTGAAAGAGCAGCAAGACCACAGAATGCATAACCACCATGAGCCTCCATACCTGGTGAACCAGAGAAACCTCCTTCATATGTCTGACAACTGATAATCCAGCTAGCTGAGTTATCAAACAGGGCGTCTGTGTAAATATTGACAAGCCTGGCAACAGCTAATGCACAGTATACCCCTCTAATATCCACTTCTCCACCAGGATGCATCATAAACGCTCCATCAGGAGAACGAACAGACCAGAGAAACTTTTGCAGCTGTTCCCTGTCAATGATGCTGTATGCTTCCTCTGTTCCCAATGTGCAAAGGGCATTCACTGCAGCATAGGTAGGAGCTAAGTGTGGGAATTGGCCTGGACCTCCAGCAAATCCTCCCTCTGGACACTGACACTTTCCAAGGAACTGAACTATCTTAGAGATATCTTCTGTTGCTAAAGTTTCATCCAATAGTTCCAAGGAATGCAATATCCAGTAACAAAGCCATGGGCGACTAGCATCTAGACACTGATAAGCATTGGGCAAATAAGTAAGGGACTTCTTGAGAAAAGTTGCATGATGAAGCCTTAACAGTGTAGGTGCATCTAGATCAATTTCTACTATTTTTGAAAACAAATCAAAAAGCTGTTCTACTGATTCCTCCACCTTCATCTGTTCTTCAGATGTTGGTGTCGGACAGTTTTCATCCTTAAATCTTTCTTTCTTTATAGCTTCAAAAGATCTAACATTTGCTGCCATGCTGAAGGAACGGCTTACTCGAATTGCTTGAAATGTGTTATTCTGGTACCTTGATCCTTGTAATTCAGTACACCTAAAACAAGCACACAAAAGCATAAAGATCCCTTACATGATATAGAAAAACAAATGTTCACTACATTTACTTCCGGTAGCAGACTGATTTCACAGAAAACATTGCAGTGGTTCCTGTTACTTTATTTTGATGTATTTTTATCAGGTCCCAAAGCATGTTTCTGGCTTAAAAAGTATGTATTCACATGGGAGAAGGATAAACTTCAACAGACTTTGACCCATTACAGCCACTGTTTCGCCCCATCTCTGTCTACACTTTTACCACTTTCCATAATCCCTCAAACAAAGTAGCTGCAGGACTTAAAAGAGCTCCACACTGTTTGCTGGAAATGGTGGAGATGTAAGACATATCTCATTATTATCAAAAGTATTCAGTCTAGGATTTTCATATTTGGTTCCACTTCAGGAACAAGAGTACCTACTACTCAGCTGACCACAATAAGCAATCACATTGACCAATATCACAGGTATGGAGAAATGGCAGTGGTTGACTATAATGGCAGGAAACAATACTCTGGTCTATTGTAGCTATGGTAAATAAGTTTTGAAATCTTATGTTCATTATATATTATTGGTATGTTCATTTTAAAGAATATTAATACAACAGAAAAATGTTTTCACTGTAATCCTGCTGAAACTAGCACTTTGTAAGCAGCTAAATATTGGTGTAATATTTATTTTTAATTTCCAGTACTGTCATTCCAGAAAGGAGAATATTTCCCAAAGCATAAGCTCAACTGTTACTGGTAATATTGTATTTTAGCATCATGTTGTGTGTAGAATATTTTATTTAGTTTCAGTCTCACAAAAATATGTATAATTCTATTTTTTGCCATCACCAGGTATTACTTACACAGTCACACTCAACTTTCTCTGCTATTCCTACGCAATTGGCCAATGTTTAAGTCTACAATAAGGCACTATGCTACAAGCCATAAGATTGCGGATTCGAGTCCCAAAGAGGTCACTGGATTTTTTGATTGACCAAATCCTTCAGCTGTGCTGCAGCCCTGGCATCAACTCAGCCTCTAACAGAAATGAATACTAGGAATCTTCCTGGGGTAAAGGGAGGCCAGCACATAACGCTGACATCCTCACGCCATCTGTGAGCCAACTGTCCAGAAAGTGTGGGTACCCCGACGTCTCACAACCCTACGGGCCCCCACAGCCCATTACAAAGACCTTTGCCTTTTTTCTTTTCCATAAACATGACCTTCACCCAACTGTAAATGCTGACCGACCAATGGAGGGGGAACAGCAAAGACAGTTGAGCGCGACTGTGTAAGTACTACCTGACAATGGCCAAAACATCTTCTAATGTAGAAACTCAATAAAATACCGAACTGTTATTATTCTCGTGAGCTGTTTATATAAACACGCTGTGCAATGAGAGCTGGTGTGGGAAGAAGTTAAAACTAGGCATCTTGCTGCCCCCCCCCCCTTAAAAACACGAGTGAAAACCATGCTCTGTGCATTAGCCAAAGATGATAAAAAGAATAAATAATATTTATGACTTGCTAATGTAAACACCGACACATAAATTCGCACGTTGTTACTGTATAGTTTATAAGTACAAAGCCACCAGGTCTAAGCATGCTGACAATGATTCCTTCAATTTAAAATACACACACAATACAGTCTGAATCCAATTACATGAAACTATAATATTTTGCTTAATTATACTTAAGACATGGTATGTGACATGACATTTATGAGTGTAATGTCTGAGTAATGAAATGAAACTATTCAGACTGATGCTAAAAAGGTTTCTTCTTTCCAATTCGTTTTATTCCTTGGATGAACATTTTAACTGTAAAGCAAACTAAACACCTGGGTTATACTCCCCACTAAGTATACTTTTTTATGATACTTATAATCTGCTCATATATATTCATCACATTTTAGTGCTATCAGTACATTAGTTTTAACATTTTAAACATACAGCTGTCATACGATGTACAAAAGTTGTTCCGTGTCCTGGGTATTAAATGATAATACACAGTATTATTATCATTACAATGTCATAGATTACAATAATGAATAATAATTGATGTAAATTCCCAATAAATAATCTGCTTTAGATATTAGACTCATGTTTGAGATACTGTATTGTGAGATGAATTACTGATGTATTTATATTCGTATCTTGGTAATGTGATGCGACTTGTCTGGTTTCGTCTGTGACTAATTCCACATCTACTGGTCATTATTGTACCACTAAGGATCAACCGAATGTTTAAATAAATTGAATGAATTAATGTCGCATTATCGCTGATGCAGCTAGTCAACTCCTTTATATTTACATTTAACTTTCGTTTCGATGATCTTCTGTCGACAACATGCTCAGACATTCAATAGTCAAAACTGAATTTTACTGACATGTATGTATATCATCTAAGCGTGACCTTTGATTTTCTAATTGCAAAACATCATTCGCAAACCAAAGTTCGTACAATTAGAATTTTTTTTTTCATAACAAGTTCAAGGATCGTACCTTTCACGTAATTATATTTACGTACAACTGGCGACCACAACACGCTACGCCATATTAAAAACAACCACTAAGCGATAATCGTTGCCAATTACTGGGCTCTAAAATGAAGTCTTTTCTACTGCGAAAAAATAAAACTCGATCATTGTAATTCTGAATGTTCTGAATATTGCTTAGCAGTAGCGTGTGTTCAATATGTTTGTTGTTTCTGTCGAACAAGATGCGGGTTGTACGGAGTGTTTGCAGGTTATGTTAGATATTCAATGTCGAAAATGACTAAATGCAAGGTTATAATTCTGGAATTCAGAACTTCATACGTTATTTGAAATTTGCAGCTATTTTATGAAAACCGGATATTATATGAATTTGGTGAGTGCTTGCTTGTATATTTTATGTGATATTTGGTACACTGCAGAGTTGGCGGAATAAAATACGTCGTAGGAACTAACGTCTTAAGGTTAATGTTTCATCATGTGTTTTGGCAATTTTATTGCGTAAGATCTTCTATTCTTCCGGTTATGAACATTACGATCGTCTGGGATGTGATTCATTCATTCATTTCCTTTATTTTCCATATATCCATACAGGCAAAAATCCTAGGATGTGGAAATAGTCCATTTGATTACAGATGTATACGAGGGGGTACCCAAAAGAAACCGAACTTATTTATTCAAATTTTAAGCACAAACCTTCAATCCCCTTCAAAGTACTCTCCACTTACACCAATACACCTGTCTAGTCTTTTATTCCATTTTTCAAAACATTGTCTAAATTCATCTTTTGAGATGCTTGACAGCGCCTCTGTCGTTCTTTCCTTTCATGTCTCTTTTCATTCGAGGAAACAACAAAAAAAAAAGTCGCACGGGGCAAAGTCGGGTGAGGAACAGGAGTCATACCATTTTTGGTCAAGAACTGTCTTACAGACAGGGCTGTGTGAGCAGGGGCATTGTCATGATGGAAAAACCAGTCACCCGACTGCCACAGATCTGGCCACTGAGCTCCAAGTCACTCCCGACAGCTCCACAATTTCTTCAATGGTCCGTCGATCTTCCTTGATGATTTCATGAATTTTTTCAACATTTTCATGTGTTCGGGCCATGGAAGGACGACCAGAACGAGGTTTGTCATCAATTGACATTTCACCATTTTTGAAACGGGAAAACCACTCAAACACTTGAGTTTTCCCCATAGCATCGTCCTTGTACACCGTTTTTAACATTTCAAGAGTTTCTGTTCCACTTTTCCCGAGCAAAAAGCAGAATTTCACCGCCGCACGCTGTTCATGAAAATCAGCCATTGCAAAAATGACGATCACGCAAAACATTTGTCACTATAAACTCTGCCGAAACTAGTCCTTACCTTCTGAAGCAATGGTAGTCGGCTTATCGACTCAGGAATGTTAGCTCTATGCGCTCATAGCGGCAAAACGCAGTACTACAAAAGGTCTGCCCACAAAAAAAATAAGTTCGGTTTCTTTTTGGTACCCCATCGTACATGTAATAGATTACATAAGTCACACAACTAAAATACACACACACCAGTTAACTAACATAGGCAATATAAAAAAAAAAAAAAAAAACAAGAGCTTATTACAATTGTAACTAAACATAATTTAAAAATGCATTACTATAAAAACTTAAAATTAATAGAATTTTCCCATAAATCAAAATACATTGATACAAGACTCGTCATATACATACATACACATCCTCCACTTTCCATAAACATCCATACAGGGAACAAACCCAGAGTAGCGATGTAGTTTGGCAGAGTAATGCCTATTTCCCAAACTGCATGGCTAGAAGGCCATAATGTGAAGACCGCCACTGCGTTGTCACCAAGTGCATAATTTTTTTCCTGCAGGTCTGTGAACAATGGATGATCTAGCCCAGTCATTGGATTTCTGCTCCATCAGCAGTCACCAGAGGACTATAATCCATATAGACATTGATTGTTTCTATGCTCAAGTGGAGATGATTAAGAACCCTGCTTTGAGAAATTGTCCGTTGGGAATTCAACAAAAAAATATTATTGTCACCAGTAATTATGTAGCACGAGAATATGGTATTGAGAAATGTATGCTTGTTAATGAAGGTTTGCAGTTGTGCCCACAATTGGTACTGGTGCGAGGGGAAGATTTATATGATTATAGACAAATTTCTGCCAAAATTACAACTCTCTTACACAGATACAGCCCTCAGGTCGAGAAACTTGGATTGGATGAAAACTTTGTGGATGTTACAGATTTGGTTGCTGAAAGACTGGGGGACAGTACAGACCAACAAATTATAGATGGTTGTATATATGGTGATTTGAATGAGAAATGTGAATGTGGTTGTAAGAACAGGTTGTGTGTTGGCTCCCATATTGCTGGTGAAATGAGAAGTGAAATTCATAATATTCTGGGCATAACAAGTTGTGCTGGGATCTCTTGTAACAAGCTACTTGCAAAACTAGTGTGTGCTACCCACAAACCAAACCAGCAGACTACTGTCTTTCCTTGCAACTCTTTGGCATTGGTGTCAAGTCTCCAGAATGTTAGTGGCATTCCTGGCATTGGTCGTCGCATGCATGAAATTTTGCAGTTTCATGGTATATTAAGTGTTACAGATCTTCAGAACTGTAATCTTACATCTCTGCAGAAAGCTCTTGGCAATGACATGGCAATCCGCATCAAAAAACTTAGCTATGGTATTGATGATTCCCTTGTGAAACAAACAGGTAAACCTCAGTCCATTGGGTTGGAGGATGGTTTTAGGAAGATATGCTTAGAAAGTGAAGTGAAAGATAAATTAGCCGGTCTGCTAGAAAGACTTCTAAGATTACTGTCTCAGGATGGTAGAATTCCTGGCTCAATCAGAGTAACCACACGCAAATATGACAGTATTCAGAAACGTAGTCACAGAGAGAGCAGGCAGTGTAATATAGCTGCTACATCTTTTATCATGAATGGTGGCCCACATTACAGAAATAAAATCGCACTGAAGTCAAATGAGAAGTTTTTGGCTTTAATTATGCAGCTGTTTCATAAAATGGTTGATATATCCAAACCATTCCATCTTACCCTGTTAGGCTTAGCATTTACTAAATTCCGAGAATGCAAGACTGGCAAGAGTTCAATTGCATCTTTCCTAACTAATGACATATCTGTACAGTCAGTACTGAGTTTCAAAATCTTGTCATCAGAGACAGAGGAAATGGAATATTCATGCATGAACAGTATGGAAAGATCAGGTTCAGAATCTGAACCAGAACCTGAATCAAAGAAAGCTCGAACAGAGTTATTAATTCCAAGAAGTAAAACCCGATTTTCAAATGAAGAAGATGCTACAGGTGATTCTGCAGACTGTGCGTTATGGATGGTTAGCAAGTCAAAAGCTCCTAATGAACAAACACTGGACACAGACAGAATATCAGTGGAGCATTCTAGCAATAGTGGAGTTACAGGGAAAATTTCTCTTGAATCACAGACAAGCAGCAGTAGAAGTACCAATTCAGTGCATGGTATGACGAATGAAAATGAGTTTCAGTGCCCTCATAATGTGGATGCAGATGTTTTCCATGCATTACCACATGAATTGAAAAAGGAATTGATTGAGGCATGGAGGATAGGGAAAAATGAAGTATCTTCAACTTCACAGGGTAAACAAGACACTTTCCACTCTAAACCAAAACAGAAATCCATTTTGCAGTACTTAATTCCAAAATAGTGATATGTTTATGTCAGTTCATGTACTATGATAATGTGTGTTTGTGCCTCATTTTTTAACATTTATAGTGGAATTAACAGATGGTTGGCTTCTTCTGTTCAGTTAGTTTCTTTTCTTGTGTCAAGTTAAATGGTGTATTTAACAAATAGGAATTCTAAGTTTGTAGCATGTTACCCTGTTAAAATATGTAACAACCAATGTAGATGCTTGTACGTGTTAATAATTGTAATAGAAAATTTTGTTATATTACTGCATCATAAACTTTATCACTGCATTCCACCTGTAGTGAGCAAACTTTTATTTAATTATAGTCATTCCTGTCTTCAGGTAAATTGTCTTATGTACTAATATTGCAGGTTTGTAATTGGTAATTTCATTTCCTAATTGTTCAGTACTATATATGACTTGAAGTGTGGCAGAAACATTATAAGTAAAATCTGTTGTATTTCAGTATTATATTCAAGCATCCTGTTGCACTCTATACGATAAATGATATGAACTCCGTCCCAAGTGCAAACAATATATTATATGTCCTTGATCTTGCTCTCCTTTACACTATATGTTTCAGCCTCAAACGGCCATCATCAGGTGTATACACTCACGTTGCTGTTACACTGCACTTAGTTTAAAATTTAACATTTAAAAACACATTTTTCCTTTCGTTGTTACTATCAACATCTACTTCGTTGATATCTGTCTGGTTTATAGATTATTTTTGTTACACACGTTAGCACTTATAAAATCTTTACTTCTAATTTTAAAATCCTTTAAAATTTTTTTTATCAAATTTTAAAACTTAAAATTGTCAGGGTTACTCACCCTATGTCTATAGTGCTGCAGCGGCTAGTTCTTGTTTCCAGCACTGTACAGGTGTTATTTTGTGTAGTCTCCCTGTGTGCTGAACATACACCAAACCAAATAAAACAAAATATACTAATTCAACCAAAAATACAGTCAAACACCCCAATAGAAACATTAAATAAAAAGAAAATCAAAAACGCAGAAAATAGAATTTTAAAATACTCAAATAGATAGCCAACATAAAACCCACAAGATAGACCAAACAAAAATATTATAAAAATAGTGCCGAAGCTTGTCCCCCAACACCTTTGCCAACTGTTAAGCCAAACAAACAAAAATGAGCCCTAAACAAAAAGCACGAATTAAATTCACTTCTCGAGAAACCAGATACCTCCGGAAATGATTAACATATCACTACCAAATAAATGTTATCAATAGTAATGAAACAGTAACTAAAACAAGTATTAACTCCTCCAAAATTGGGAAATAAAAATAAATAATAAAAATTAATAAACCCTGAGACTGCTGTATTTTGTTTCATCATGGGTGAAAGTATTGATTATAAGCCAGGATACCCTTGTCATGTTAAGTGACTGGTTATGGGCTAGAAAACTAGGTTCAATTCCTGACAAGAACAGAGACTTTTTTTTTCCACCACATCCAATCAAGCTCTGAGGCCCATATGAGCACTGGATGCAGATGTTAAAAACAGCTGTGAACAGCTGACCACTCACGTCCGTAACCAAGGTTAAAAATGCACAGACTGTTACCTCATCTCCTTACAGATTCATGACATGAAGGTGCATCACATGACCTATATGAACTCAGTAGAACTGTTCATAACATAATAAGGAACATTAACATGACTGCATTTAACCTTATGTTTATTGTGACCTCTCAGAGTTCTTGTTGACCTAGAGCTCTAGAACACTGCTTACAAGCTTCTGTTGATAGACCAATGAATCATCACCTCAGTATTTGTGCTGCTGCTTTAACAGATATTACAGGATTGCCTTTCGTATCTACAGGATAATGACAGGAACCCATTTTATTATGATGAATATTTAATATTTAGAAACAAACTATAATACATGGTGTGGCCTTTATTTTTATTTATGTATATAAAAGTATAGTTAAAATAATAAATGACTGCATTACACATGGAATAAAAATATCTTGAAAACATAAAAGGAATCTACATATGAGGCTGTTTAAGGTTAACGTGGAGTTCATTTTTATTTTTTTCATTGAGCACACCAGAAAAAATAAAATATGGGAAGATGATGGCACCACTGCACTCACTACCTGACATGGCACTGTTCTAGTTCTGCACATTAAAGCTGCTACAAGATGGCATTAGACCTTGTCACTGCTTGTGGGCCAATGAAGGAGCACCTAGGAGGCCAGAAATTTCAAACTGATGATGAACTCAAACATTATGTCCTCAACTGGCTAGCCAGTCATGCTAAAACGTTTTATGCTGCTGGTGTCAGTGACTTACTAGGATAATGGAGAATGCCTTGAAAGGAGTGTCTGGTGATTCTGGCACGTATATTTTTCTAAAAAAAAAATGAAATCCAAGTCAACCTTGAAACACCCTTGTATATAGCAGCAGTAATAATACAAACATCATCTTATATAATGTAGAGCAGCCCTCTTCCCTGTGTGTAGTTATATGCCACACATTGAGAGCCATTTATAGCCAATCAGTCACCGCAGTGTTAGCGACCCCTTGGAGGAGCTTAGTTTGCAGCAGGAACACTGGCACACAGTGACAATAGATGACACCTGACAGTTGATTTATTAAAGAATACTTAATGGTGAATCACCTGTAGTCACACTGAAAAGTAAATTACTACAAATCCACTTTCATAATATTAAACACTTATGGTACTTTTTAAGTTGAATTTACAGTCAAAAGTTATACTGTCATCATTTAATAATTTAGTAAGACAGTCTAACAAGCTGATTGGCACTTCTGTGGAGTGCAAATGTGGCGTCCAAATGCTTTTGATGTCGAAGTCAGAGTGTTTTTGGATCTGATATACTCTGAAGAAATAAAATTCACAGGAGCTGCCCCCCTCAACCATGCATTATTGGCCTAGCTGAAAAACTGGGAGGTCTCAAAGCCTAATTTCTTAATCAGATGGCATACTGTGCATTATAGGATATAAGTGTATGTATTTTAAATTAAACACCTATTGTGATGGTAGTTTCCAGTTTGTAATGATGTTCCCTCTGAAGAAGGCCCATAAGGACCGAAACATGTAAGGGAGATAAGTTTTAACGTAGTAAAAATTTATGTCATATTGGATGAAGTGGTTTGTATTTATATAGTTGTATAGCTTACAATTCATTAGCCTTAATCACATATTCATTATAATGCACCTAATTATAATAAATGGTTACATAAGTACTGCAAAATCCTCTACCATTTATAAAAGAGGCTAAATAACAGCATTTCTGCAGACTTATAGCAAACTCAAAACAACATGGAACATAATAAAGCACAATACAGGAGAATTACATCCAACTGAAGATATACTTACTGTCTGTTCCTATAAACAGTAAAAAAGTTGAAGGATCCAAAAACTGCCAATGCACAGGAATTCTCAATGCCTTCAATACTTATTTCGTAACAATTACTCAAAATCTGAAGTTGCATCAAGTATGGAGAGATGATGCTATTTCATCTCCCCCCCCAACTCAGTCAGTATAGCAACTGGCTACAGGCTGGAAGACCGAGAGGTTAGAGTTCTCAAGTCCTGGTAGGGTCAAGAATTTTTACTTCTCCATGTTGTCCAGACCGTCTCTGGGGTCTACCCAACCTCCTATGCAATGGGTGCCAGGAGCTCTCTTGCCAGGGTAAAGAGGGCAAGGCGTGAAGCTGACCACTCACCTCCAACTAGTGCCGAGGTCAAGAAAATGTGGATCTATACATCCACTCCCCCATACACCTTCATGGCATAATGCTTACTTAGTTAAGCACAGGGAAAGCTTTACCTTTAAAACTAGTTTCCTCAAATACTCCCTGCTATTATCATTCCAACCACTGAAACTGAGATGAAAAGCATAATTCAGTCCCTGAAATCAAGAACCTCATTAGGTTATTATAGAATAAAAAGTAAAATTTTTAAATGTTTTATATCTCAAAGTTTCCATTAACCCATATCTGTAAACAGGTATCTTCTGCAACCATCTTGAGATTTCAGTAGTAAACTCACTATCCAAAAAAAAAAAAAAAACGCAGTAGAAGTAGGCCAATTTCACGTTTAACTCTATTTTCTAAAGTAGATGAGAACATTAGTACAATAGATTAAGACATTATCTGCAGACAAACAATGCAACTAGTCCCAGAATTTTTCTTCAGGAAAGAAATATCCACTGATAATGTAGCCATGAAACTAACAGACAGTATATTAAAATCAATTAATATTATTCTGTGACTTATGTAAGCTTTTATGTGTAATCATGAACACTGCTAAATATATTTTTGGGGGGGAGGGGTCATTCAGTGTACAGTGGCAAGTTTGGTTCAGATCCTACATAACAGAAAATATAAAGCAAAATCAAATCAAATGTAACCTAAAATTGCTACTCAAACTAGGGAACAATAAAACATGGAGTTCCCCAAGGGTCAATTCTGGGGGTCCTTGCTTTCCTTAGTCTATATACATGACCTCCCTCTAACAAAAAATACCATACCAGTGCCCATAATATTCACAGATAAGACTAGTGTCATTAATTCCAAATTAAAATGTTCTCACAGGAGTAAGTGGTTTACTGTTAACAAGCTGGCTCTGAACCTAGTTAAAACAAATATAATGCAACTTACAACAAATAATTCATCACTATCCATTCAACATATGATGTAATGATAAATATATAGACAAGTCATTAAATACACAATTCCTTCCATCATCCAAAAATCCCAGTAATTCTTTGTCATCCACAATCGTCAGAACCCTTTAGAGTCTACAAAATTCATTGTTTTACAAACTGGTAACTTAAATTGTAAAAATCATACTGATTATTTGGTTCCTAAGTTAAGTGAAGGATGTTATGCAGTTAAGTTCATGTTACATATTAGCAACACTGACATATCAAATTAGTCTTTTTCTAATTTTACTCTATAATGAAGTCTGGAGTAACTGTCTGGGGTAATTTACCTAACATTACAAAAGATACTGTTAGAATCATGGCAGTGTCAAACCTGGAAATTCATGTAAAGTGAATTTAAGAGATTAAAGACCTTATCTCTTCCATGTAAATGCATGTTTTCATTAATGAACTTCGCTGTAAATAACCAGAACTAATTCAGCTGTACACAGTGGGAACACAAGGAACAAGCAACATCAACTTAAATGACAACTCCTTATGATTTCAGAACGTGTATGATATGGTGGTATCAAACATGAATTCCTGTTATCTAAAAGTTAATCATAGCCTGCTCAAGTTTTTCATAAATGGCATAAGTGAGCAGTACTGATGTATATGCATGAATCTATTTGAAGCATCTGAATTCCTTACACAAATCCTCTGTATTTTATATTTTTCAGTTTTTATGTGAAATCTTCAATGCTATTGTACATTATGTTTTGTGGTTTTATGACCTATTCCTCATCCTACAGTCATTTTTGACTAACAGTGATCCACAGAATGTAATATATGCATGTACACAATCATATAATATTTTTTCATTCACTGTGTTGTATATTTATGCACATGTTATAGCTTATTCAATATGCTAGTTATTAGTTAGTTATTTAGAGAGGGTGGGTTTCCCCATGCACTGTGACCAGTTTGATCTATTGTGCTTCCCTCTATGATATTCTACCAGTCTCTTTACCCTATCGATAAATGGTGTGTACCATCAGTCCCGCCGAGCAAGCGAGTTCGGCCACTTGCTTAGCGGTGTCTATAATGCTTCCCCCATCTATCAGAGGCCTTAGAGACTATTGTTGGGCGGGAAACGTCCTGGAATTTGGCTCAGTGATCTCCTTTGGGGATATGAGGTTCTTTTACGTGCCATAAAGTTACAACATGGGACACACAGCTTAAAGTCCCTCCCGGAGGACTTGTTCCCTGAATTTTTCCGCCCTTAAAAATTCGACGACCTCCGCCGGGTATTTGAACCCGCGTACCACGAGTCATGAGGTGGGAACGTTACCTCTAGACTACGGAGGCCGCTTATTCAATATGCTACTATCATCCGACAAATTCTGGATCCAAATAATGTAACTCTGTAATAGAAGAACAGTACTGGAGGACACAATAAACAGAAAAATTGTTGTGTGCAGGATGCAAAAAAAAAAAAATCTAAGTGCTGCCACCTACTGTATAAAACGTGCCACTTAAATATTTTGATGCATGAACATACACATGCTGGATAATATGAAAGGCTCTGCTATGGCAAAAAGATGTAAAATGTCTGTGTATACATTCCAGTCTTCTTCTTTCTTTTTTTAATTATAGAATTCCACATAACAAATGCATACTGAACCTTGCATTACTTGACCAAAGTAATGCACAGCATAAATAACTGCCCACAGTGGAAAACAGTAAAATTGCAAGCAATAAGAACATTTTGACTACTAGTATCTGATCATTTGACCATCAACACGAGTCCAACATGTAATTATCATGAGCTAAACTGCATTTTTATGTAGGATTACAAATTTACATTACTTAAATAAGACAAAAAATTTGTATGAATGGAAGTCTGTGTAATAAGATAGTGGGTTTTATTAGTTATACTCTTCTTTCAGTTATTACTGCAACTAGACCACTATATTTCATGAATCTTGAATAAGTTGAAGTCATCATTTATCCAGTACACTCAAATGAAGAGAGTGAGATGTTAAAACTAAATTAACATTCTAAAACGCTTATTGTCCTTCAAATCTTAGTGACCGTTCAGTAATGCATAAAATATTGTGGTATATGATCTTCAAATTGATCTGTTTAGTATTCATCATAGATGTCATGTCTTCTATTTCCTCTAACAACTGGTTCAACTGCATAGTATATTAAGTACTCTGGGTAATACTCACTGTCAGAAAATTTTACAATCACATGCCCATTTTCTTTTTGGGAAGTGTCATACCTCAGTGTGTTGTTGTGGTTGTAAGTTTGTGATATAAGTGGTGGAATGATCATGCCCCCATGACCTTGAGTAATATTCAAAATCAGAACTCTGGCCAGGAACATTATTTTCACGGCAGAATTCTTATCAGAATAATGGCTTGCATAGTAAGAAATTGGTGAGAAGGACACCCCTTGGCCGAATCTGTTCCCTGTGCTACCACCATGAAGCCTCCAGTCAAAGTTATTCTCACAAATACTGTTTACATTACTTTGTTTTGTTCCATGGAAAAGGTACATCTCTCTCACATAATTACCAGACATGCACTCCATCTCATTCTTTTTCAATAGATAACAGCCTAATAAATAAGGATTTTGTACCCGTTCAATTTGAATTACATTAAATTCTTTTTTAGTTGTAGCCTTGAAAAGGTTTTTAACTGTTTTGTACTCTTGTGCATCCTGTTCAACTTCCATTCTGACAAATGCAGAATTAATGGTCATAGGAACCCAGTTTACAGCTAAGGGCTGTCGAAGAACAGCTTTGTTGAGAGGTCTGCAGCTAACAGGTAAAACAAACGGCAGTCGTGCATTCTCCTTGGATTGAAGTCTCATCTTTTCCTCCAGTAATTTTTGTCTCTGTGAAGCTGCATGCTGGTGGGACTGAACATTGGTAGGATCTTCATAGAAAGATGTAGTGTGTGATGATACTAACTGGGCACTGCTTGATGGCCTGTGTGGAGCTGACTGGGCAGATGAAAATGAATTCCTCTGTTGTTTATTTTGTTGACTACTGAAAAGGCCTCCCATATTGCCCTGAGAAAATTTAATGAAGCATTATACACAGACTACACAACACAATATTCGCCTCTGCATGTACCAATTTCAACAGGAAAATGTTATGACTGACTGGACTGAAAGGGATCGATCATCAAATCACTTGCTCTGGTCATAAAGAACTGCTAACGTATCAAACCAACTCCAGTTCATAATATTAAATTGCTGTATCCTCTTGCACTGCATAGATCTGACTTTGTGTTCTGCTTTTTTGCCATCTGTGTGTAATGTCAATTAATATTCTCGCTGTTCTCTCTTTATTGTCACTACATCATCTGGTCACAGAACAAAAAAAAAAAAAAACACACACACACACACACAAACAAACATGTTCATAGCAATTGTTCAAGTGCACCCAAATAAAACAGCTGGTTAACCCACATAACCTATAATTTGAGGCAACTACATAAGGAGAGCAAAACAGCATTACTGTGAACAACAGATTCCTTCACAACTTGTGCACTTGATGATGGCCGGAACATGTAGTGACATGAAAGTGAAAACGACTAGAGAATATTAACTGATGTTTCACACACACGACAAAAAAGCAGAAGGCAAAGTCAGAACAACTCCAGGTCATACTTGAACACAAAATTTATTATATTCTTGTCTTCAACACACTCCTGCACTAAACTGCTGTACAACCAAATACTGCCTTACCTAATATAGTAAAATGTACTGAAGGGGAGGAAAGTTAAAATAATTTGTGTCATTGCAGTTATGTATATGTGAGTATTTTGTTCAGGTTAGTATCTTTGTTTAGAAATTTTTGGGAGAGAAGAACTTCAGTCATTAATATCTGAAAACAGTTCTTTATCCGAAATGTAATATCAGAGTTGTTACTTTTTCTCTCATAATTAGCACAAACCCTCACAAGGTATGTGTCTTCATTTCTAAGTTATTTCACAAACTTTAACAGAATGTGAATTAACAAGAGATAGCATTTAAATTTTAATGAAATGTAGCGATTGGCTATAGGATGGCCAGCCAGGGTCTGATTCCCAGCAGGTGCAAGAGACCTCCACGGCATCCAGACCCAGCCTCCTTACAATGGGTACCCAATTTTTTCTTTCCGTTGGGGTAAAGCAATCAGGGTATGAAGCTGACTGCTCACCTCCATCTAGTGCTGACATGAAGAACGCTGGAGCTATGCGTGCACAGTTGAAATCTGACATATTAAGAAGGCAGACATTGAAACACGAAAGGTGGATAAACCCATAAAATAGTAAGTAGACAATATAACTTAAATATAAAAACAAGCAATAAATCAAATATAACCAGAAAGGAATAACGATAAAATGTTTATTATATTCTAATATATTATTACAGAAGAAAACCTGACCGGGAAACAGAAACAAACAGTACAGAACGTCACAAAAACTAGTTCCAAACAATACAACTGCTCCACATGGAAATCAAATTGGAGCAGAAATAAAACAAACTAGACCACAATCATCTTACAATCTCTCCAGTACTGTTAACTTTCCCACAAGAGTTCAAAATAATTCTAGTTCAGCGATAGATAATATATTCATTGATAACTCAAAATTAAGAGACTATACTGTAGGACCCTTTATAAATGGCTTATCCGATCATGATGCTCAACTCATAGAAATAAATAATATTGACCTTCAGCCCAGTAATCAACAATATCAAACAGTAAGGAAAATCAACAAGCATACGATGGCAGATTTTGTCACAAAATTAAGTAATGAATCATGGGACAATGTATTTGACAGCAATAATATTGATTCTAAATTTAATTGCTTTCTGAACACATACTTGAGGATCTTTTATTCAAGCTTTCCCTTAAAAATAGTCAAAAATGAAAATAAAAACAAATCCACCTGGATAACAATTGGAATAAAAACTTCATGTAAACACAAAAGACAACTATATTTGGCCAGTAGGGACAGTAATGATCCAAGACTAAAAAGTCACTACAAAATGTACTGTAAAATTTTGTCAAAAGTCATTAAAGAAGCCAAACAGAATAACTATAACAGCCAAATTCTAAAATCAAACAATAAAATTAAAACCACCTGGGATATTGTGAAAGTTGAATCAGGAAAGAAATCTGTTAATGAAGACGTACAAAGTTTGAATATTGAAGGGAAGTCCACTAACAATCCACAAGCTATCGCAAGTGCATTTAATGAATATTTCCTTTCATTAGCTGAGAAAACATATTCCAATAATAATAATAATAATAATAATAATAATAATAATAATAATAATAATAATCCAATATACTATCTGTCTCGTGCCTTTAACAATTCATTTCCAAATATCAATCTCAAATTCTCAACAAGGAAGGAAATTGAAAACATTATTAAATCCCTTAAGCCCAAAAATTCACATGGATATGATGAAATCTCTACCAAATTACTTAAAGCAAGCTCTGTTTACATCAGTTCACCCTTGAATCATCTATGTAATAAATCTTTATCATCAGGTACTTTTCCTCAACGCTTAAAATACGCTATAATGAAACCACTTTTTAAAAAAGGAGAGAGAAAATGCATCTCTAATTACAGACCAATATCCATATTGACTTCATTCTCAAAAGTCTTTGAAAAAGTTATGTATAATAGACTACTTGAACACTTAAATTCTAACAACATATTAGTCAAAGAGCAATTTGGATTTAGGAAAGACCTAACAACAGAAAAAGCAACCTATGAACTAACTAACGATATTTTAAGTGCTCTCAATGACAGATTAATTGTGGGAGGGATTTTCTGTGATCTAGCAAAAGCTTTCGATTGTGTTAATCATGATATCTTACTATCGAAATTAAATTTCTATGGAATAACTGGCAAAGCTAATGAATGGATCAAATCATACCTCAAAAACAGGTATCAAAGAGTTGAAATAAATAATAAAAACTCCAGTCATAATGCATTTTCAAACTGGGGAATTATAAAGCACGGTGTTCCACAAGGATCAATTTTAGGTCCCTTACTTTTTCTTCTCTACATAAATGATCTATCTAAAACCATCAACAATAAATCTAAACCAATTCTATATGCAGATGACACTAGTATAATATTTAAGAACTCTGAATTTGAGAACTTTAAAAATGACATAAATATTGTATATGAAGCCTTAAACAGATGGTTCGAAGCCAATTTACTCTCATTAAATTTTGATAAAACCCATTACATATCATTCACAACTAAAAACCACCACCAAATTGATCTGGACATCAGTTATGCCAACAAATTAATCTGTAAAGTACTTGATACAAAATTCCTTGGAATACATGTAGACAGTACACTGTCTTGGAAAATACATACTGAACAAATTATACCTAAATTAAATGCAGCTTGCTATGCGATGAGATCAATTAAGCCTTTTATGTCACAGGAAACATTGAAGATGGTTTACCATGCCTACTTTCATTCTATTATGAACTATGGATTAATATTTTGGGGGAACTCTTCACATAGTGTAATAATTTTTAAAATACAAAAGAATATAATTAGAATCATTACAGGATGTAGAAGTAGAGATTCATGTAGAGAATTATTTAAGAAATTAAAAATTCTACCTCTTCAATCGCAATACATATTATCGCTTCTCTTATTTGTTGTTTACAACAAAGATAAATTCAAATTAAATTCTGATGTCTATAACATGAATACTAGACAAAAATATAACTTCCACCTACCCTCATCAACTTTATCAGTATATCAAAAAGGAGTCTACTTTACTGGCATAAAAGTGTTCAACAATCTGCCACAAAGTATTAAAAACTTGGGCAATGATACTAAAAAGTTTAAATCAGAGTTAAAGAATTATCTACATGCTCATTCCTTCTACTCTTTAGATGAATACTTCAATGTAAATAGAGAATGATGTAAAATTAAGTTATATTAATTTTTAAGCTAAAATTGCCTGTACTTAGGATTTTTAGAATGTAAATAAATTCAATTCAATTCAAAAACAACACTCACAGATAACTACATATTGCAGTGATGGACACCAATATAAATAGTATATATGATGAATTATTTAAACACGCACGAGCAATATTTTACTTCATCATCTGAATGTATTTTGTAACTTAAAAACTTTTAATTTTTACGCTGTTTTATTTTCTTACAGACGCCTTATGTACACCTCTAGACACATATTAATATGAAACTTTTATCCAAATATGAATATATTTACAAGAATTGTATTAATTCTAATGAAATGCTGAATATATTAACTATGTGTAAAGTCTAATTACTAATTAAGTTACTAAGTAACATTACTAATATGTGAATACATACTATAAAACGCAATTCACTACTCTGAGAACAGTTGTTAATGTTGATGGCTTTATAAGCTGAAACATGTAGCACACCACCATACCATTAAAATGAATAAATTCATTATATGCAGTAAATGTGACTGAGATTTTGATAGGTGGTGTGTTGAGATGGAAAAGAAAACAGTAAAGAAACTCTTTGAAGATTACTGAATATAAACTGAGTGCTTTAATTTTTCTCTGTGCTTTTGCTCAAAACATTTTTGCTTCAAGTAGTGTGCAGTGTATATGTGAATCCCTGTGGTGGTCTTCAAGGGTTCTGCTGGCCCTCCCTGGCTGCCAAGCTGTGAAACTGACAGGATGGGCCTTACAACAACATACAGAGTGGTTACCACAACAAGATCTGGGTTACAATCCAGCTCCAGAGGTACATCATCATATGGTTCTTATTTTTTCCTTACTGATATAAAGTTTTTAAACTTCAAAATACAACTGATTTTTCTAGAACAAACAAAATAAATCTCCAACAACCATTCAAGTATCAGGTCTGGGAAAGTGAAACATGCTGTACTTGTTAAAGTAGGTTTATCTTTTTTTATTTGTGAACAAAAAAGAAAAAGAAAACTTCACACTGATGAACTTTGTGATATACTCTCTTCACAAAATACTGTTACTTTGAACAAATCTTGGAGGATACGAATATTGGAATGAACAATTTATTAAGAACTTTAATGAGAAAATCTGCAAGAAAGAGACTGCTTGAGAGATGTAGGTGTAAACATAACGACATTATTAAAATTAATCTTAAAGAAATATGGTATAAGGTTCTGGGATATAATCATTTTGGCTTGGGTGGGGTCCAGTGGTAATGATCCTCTTAGGTTCCATACAGGAGGGTTTACTTTATTTGATGTTTCTGGCGTTGGCCCCTTCCAAATAATTCACCTTCTGGTTATGTAACTTTCAAATAAATTTTGATTTTCATGGCAGACTTGCAAATTGAATAGGGTGGAAAGTGCACATGTGCCGTTTTTGCTTGGAAATGCAATTGCCGTTTAGTACGTATTGCGTTCGGTTTGTGTTGTAGTTAGGGCCTTTAGCATGACGCTATAACAATTTATCAGTTTTAATTGTTGCTACATTCCAGAACATGAGTGTCAACAACAAATATGCATGAAATAATTGACGGAATGAGAAAATGATTACAGCATAAAATTCCCACTAAATAGCCGCCGGCATTGGAGTGGAAAAACGATTTAAACGCCCCCGGTACTGAAGGGTTAACTGCAATACCTTACAAAACTGACAGAAGCGAAACAACTATACTTACAATTATTAATAAGGTTAGAAATATTCACCTGCCGCTATTGATCAAGTACTTTCGGTTTCACTTGGCTGTCTTCACATGCCAACGCCCCACACCTTGCACAAAATCTGATAATCACGCAGGTTACGCCTGTCCCGCGCGCCTTAAGGTGGGAATACACGAGCGCGCCGCGGCTGTAACGTGGCATTACAAGTGATGCGCGGAGTGAATTGGTGCACCTCGAACAAGCAACGCGCACGCAACGAACCATCTGAATGGGGCGCGCAAGCCCGAGCACCTCAGTTCCATTCTGTCTTCGCCGTCCAAGCGTCACTTTTTTGTTCTTTTTATAATAATCATTTTCTCCGGGATTCCACAGTACAGGGAATGATTTGTATGCCTCTATGAGCCCCAAAATATCGTCTTCTGACCGCTCCATGTTTGGGGCGTGCGCGCTTCCCGAGACAAATGGCAACCGAACCCGACCACACTGCGGCAACGAATCCCTTTGTGTTCGTCAGAAAAACCGACAGGAACCTGATCGCTGCGCGGCATTTGAGCCGTGCGCTGCGCGTGTTCAAATTCACGTACACACGAGCGAATAAGTCGCGAATCCCGTTCGATCTATATTGCATTACAGCAGTGGCGCGCTCGTGTATTCCCACCTTTACATAAGCTGGGAATACCCGTATTAACACTCCCTGACAACCGGCGGGCAACATGGCTGCCTTGACGTCACGGTAGCATTGCTGCTTCAATTTCCGTGCGGAGGCCAATCAAATGCTGCAAAATGGCCGCCGCCAGTGCCGAGGCCACGATCGGTAAGAAGGTATGCTGTCATGGCGCTAGCCTATGCATGTTTTTCCTCCCCCTTTCAGAACCCATAGTTCACTGAATAGCAGAGAATATTTTTTCCACCCTGATCTCTTGTACAGCAGAGGTTCTCTTTTTGTAATATAAATGAGTTAAATATCACTTCAGTTATATCCATCACCAGGAAGTTTCTCACCAGTGCCTGTAAAGTAAGAAAATTCTAAATATCGATCCAGCAACTTCATGCAGAAATGCACTGGACACTGAACTATAACATACATAGAATACTTGTGTTGGGTAAACTTCAAAGAAAATTCTGTTTCCATCAGAAACACTTATATTCAGCATAATAAATTTGCTCACAGCTTATGCTTGAAAACCAAGCGGAACATAGCTGCCTTCAGGCAGCACAGATTTAACTTCAAATATTTTCTTTAAATATTTTAATGTCAGTCATAAAGTTGAAATATATTGATGGAAATCATTAATAAAACTAACGAAGGAAGGGAGGTAGGAAATTGTTGTAAAAAGGTTATTCAAAATCTATAAATGATTGTACACGTACACAGTGCCCAGGCTCCAAGAAATGTCATTACTCCACCGTGTGTCATCATGTAACAAGATTTAATGGCTTTAAAGATTCCATATTTTCTAGACATAGAATGAATGCTAGTCTTTTCATGATCTTCATCAGTCTCTCCAAGTTATTTACTCCAGAGCTGAACATGCAACATTAAATGTCAAATTACCCATGCTGTGGTACTGTAAGTCATTTCAGGTTATTGAGATGTAGAATCACTCTATGAAGGGATGTAAGTGGGGTGTACTTTAAGGCAAACTAATTTTCAACATCACATTAGATGCAATTATAAGGTAAATTTCATGCTTCAGAACCCTATGTCTCCTGAGAAAGAGTCTCCATATGATTGTGCTAGGAGATTTCAAGGGCCCCAGATTTGTCTCAGACTTGAAGATAGGTATTGTAGTCCCTAGAGCAGCCTCTCATTTGACACATACTTCTGCAGTCAGATTTGTCAGTGGTCTTGCGGATGCTGTCAGGTGACCCGCAGGAAAATGGTCTTCTTACTATTACTGCATTGTAAGCAAATATTCAATAGATGTGAGAAAGTACGAGCATTTTACTTTACACCTTCTATATTTATATATACCCTTTAGATCCTAAATGCACAAATGAGTGGTTCAGCCATAATTTGTTTTTCACATTGTTTTACATGTTATTATGTTCTATGGCAAGCAGTTGACTAGTTTCTTTTAAAGATAAGTGAAATTATCTTGGACTTCATTAATTAAGCAGCAAGCCTTGAAGAAGTATATGAGAGTGGAAGTAAATTTCCAGCATTCCTAGCTTTGGCACTGGAAGGAAGTGAGTGCTTAGCTTCTCACACCTGCTGCTTTACTAGCTGGGGAAACAGCTCCGGTACCTATTGGATAAGAGGTTGGATGGGCCCCAGATCCACTCTGACCTGGAGAAGAGAAAAATTTCTTGCCTTTGCTGGAAATCTAACATCCTTCATAACCATGGCTTATGCTACTTCAGTTTGTAATAACGTAGAATGTCTCTGGCTGAAATGTTTATAATCTCTCTAATAGTTTCTCGAGGATTATTGCCATTTATGTCATTGTCTAAGTTTTCCAAAGCTGAGAATTGTTTGAGATTTTAACTCATACTATTATTTGTCATTTCTCTGATAAATAATTATATTTTATATGTGTAACCGAAAACTTTTTGAGTGCTCTCTACTTCACAAATTCCCATACATGCATTATTAAGAAGCACTTTCTTGAAGAAAACTGATTCCATCTCTAACTAAATTTGTAATACAGTAGAGAGAAAAACAGAAATAAAATTCTGGAAGACAACATTCGGTTAGTTTGATTTATATGAAAATTGTACTCCTCTAAAGTTAGCAAATAATGGCCTACACTTTGTAGAAAATAATATGAAATATTGGATTTTTGTGTCATCTGTGTATACAGAATTAGTTACAGAATCTAGCATATTATAATATGTTGTCTTTTGTCTCTTATCAAATACCATAATCATGGGGTTTGGAATTTTAAAATGAAAACAGCATGAGTCTTTAGTACGGGAAGAAACTGTATCCAGTTCTTTGACTGATGTCTGTTTACATGTTGGCTTTTTAGGTCCATAACTTTATTTTTAGTAACCACAATGATTACATACATCTATAACACAACATACCTTAGATATAAAGTTCATAAAGTATGTACACTATAAGAACAAGTGAGGTATAAAAAGGAATCCTTAAATGTATTTCAATATAGTTATATACATTCTTCTACAACTGTTCCAAGCCACAATTCTTTAATCTTATCTTGAAATATACTATCACAATTCTCTTTTATTTGTTTGGCAGCACTTGGTCTGTGTCAAGTTTTAACAGCATTCTTTCAAGACATTCTATTCTACAGGGTATCAAAACATATCAAGTTCTCATCTAAGTATACAGCGCTGTAATTTACTTGATTCAAAATATATCAGGAAGCCTACAATTATGGCAATAAAATATTGGATGGATGATGAAGTTATCCCATTATTTAACTGCAGACTATTTACACCCTGCAGTGTTGGCCAGATACCATTTCACACATATTTAGAATCTTGTGTCAACATAGTTGAATATCAATATTTGGTCATCATCCTACCATTTTTCAGGAAAGAGTCCACTTCTATTTGAGAGGGAAACACTTGGCAGTGTAATTATATTAACAAGTCAGAAAGATTCCTATACCAATGTCTTCCCTGTTAACACAATACAAATAGGAAGTAAAGGTCTGTCTGCCTTGATGATGTAGTTTCCAAAATCTTAGACTATAGTTGAATATCAATATTTGGTCATCATCCTACCATTTTTCAGGAAAGAATCCACTTCTATTTGAGAGGGAAACACTTGGCAGTGTAATTATATTAACAAGTCAGAAAGATTCCTATACCAGTGTCTTCCCTGTTAACACAATACAAATAGGAAGTAAAAGTGTGTCTGCCTTAATGATGTAGTTTCCAAAATCTCAGACTATAGTTGAATATCAATATTTGGTCATCATCCTACCATTTTTCAGGAAAGAGTCCACTTCTATTTGAGAGGGAAACACTTGGCAGTGTAATTATATGAACAAGTCAGAAAGATTCCTATACCAATGTCTTCCCTGTTAACACAATACAAATAGGAAGTAAAGGTCTGTCTGCCTTAATGATATAGTTTCCAAAATCTTAGACTTAACTTAATATTAGTATCATCTAAGAGAACTTCTGTGTATTAGCCTCTGTTTAAACTTCAAACTTAAAAAAGTCCCTGAAATTCTGAATTAGTGTTCTCATTAAACATATAGGTTTAGGAATTATATTTGCTTTGGAAATGCCTGTTTATAGCCCAGGTGTGAAAAGAATTTCCAGATGACAAGATCAGATAAAAATAGGATTTAAACTGGCATGTATGTAGAAGGTGAGGAAATAACATAAAACCAAGTTTTCTCTATAACAAGCAACACCATACTACATTTGTTCTGATATTAGACTAATATTCGTTTTCATCTAGGATTTCATATCAGACTTTTGTTATGCTATTGATGGACTTCACATTCCATAACAGTAAGAAATGCCTTAGTTACCTTAATAAGAGAATCCTAAGCAAATTCCAGTAATTAATTAGGTACAAGGTATAAAATAACTTCATAAGTTTTCTCCTGTTGCTAAAAAAGGAGGGTCTAATAATTAACAATCCCATGCACTATGAAAAAAGTTTCACCAACATCTTTGCCAGACTGAATAATTATGCACAGTGGCCTGGGCCATCTCCATTATAATTCTCTTATAAAGCTATAGGTATTTCATTGTTTATTTTCCATCACGGACCAAAGTTCAGAACTCTTTTTGTGAAACAAAATATAACTGAAATTTAAGTTAGCTCAATTTAAAGTTTATTTTGAGTCTGCATGATTCCTTGGTGTGTGGGCAGTCATGCCTAATCATTGCAGTTATATTGACACTGAATACACATATTTAATACAGCATACAACACGTTTAAATTAATTTTAAAAATTAGTAAAATTAAATTAGTGTCCATTGTTTATCTTCCGTCAAAATTGCAACACTTTTACATTCTACACTTCCACACTACATGTTTCGGCGTCAAACGGCCATCTTCAGGTGTTTTTTATGTTAGAGATATTTTACTAAAACTGTGTTAAAAACTGCTACACTGTTTTAATTCGTGTTAAAAATCGCATTCTGTAGTCTTCTTTTTTAAGTAAAACGAGATAAAATACTTTACAATATCTGTTGCGTATTATTTCACCTCACCTGGGGTGTCGTCATATTTGTAAAAAGGTGCTTTTCTTGGCAGCTCGCCCCTCACATTCGTGGTCTATTTTCAGTGTGGAGGAAGCACACGCAAACCAGGAGCACATGGCAGTCAAAAACAGAAATTGTAAAGGATTTTATCTCGTTTTACTTAAAAAAAGAAGACTACAGCATGTGATTTTTAACATGAATTAAAACAGTGTAGCAGTTTTTTAACACAGTTTTAGTAAAATATCTGTAACATAAAAAACACATGAAGATGACCGTTCGAGGCCGAAACATGTAGTGTGGAAGTGTAGAATGTAAAAGTGTTGCAATTTTGACAGATGATAAACAATGGGCGCTAATTTGAACAATTGCAACAGGATGCTGAAATACAGAATAGTAAAATTAATTTTTAATTTTCAACCTTTAGTTCATATATATCTTGTAATTAAACCAACCAGTTACAATATAAATGTACATAGAAATTAGTTATTTGAAGTCTATGTATGTAAATATGAATACACTCTTTACATTTCAGTAATAAAGATGTGTAAATTACAGCACCTGCAGATGACCCTATAAGGGTAGAAACATGTAGTGCAACTTAAGTTAATAAATCATAGTTGTGTTAATGGTGGAATTTGTATTATTAGTTATACTCACACAACAGGATGCAAACATTAAAATTAAGAACAAAAAAAAATGGGTCCAACATTATATTAATTTTGAATACAATAAATTTAAACTGAAACTGGTACATATTGTATGTTTTGACAAATGGATCGTGAAAGTAATATTATATCAAACTCAATCTCACACTCAGAAAATCACATGTTAGGCTAATGTTGGGTTAAATCTGACAACTTTAAAATATTGCATACTGAAACTGCATATTGAAATAATTGGACTTCAGAGGGTTGAACCATCCATGCTAGTTTGTCACAATGGGGGGAAAATTACTATAAAAGATAAGTTCTTAACATTTTGGATGTCAAATATTTAATGCTGAAATTTTGATTAGGAATGAATTTTTATAAAATTCGATTTTATCTACAAAATTGATTTAATGGTACAGAAATAGAATGAATAATAAAACACTAACAATTCTCTGGAAAAAAATGTTGCTAATTATTAACAACAGAGATTTAAAAATATGAATAAATGAATTTAATGTTAGGTCTTTTTTTTTCACAGCACTAGAAGGGGTACCATCTTCTGAGGGGTAACACTTCATAAACCTGTGGAAGTTTGCTGAGGTTTTGGAGGATCATACAGCTTCTACAACTAAAACAAAGTTTGTCAGTATTCTTTGTCTAAGGTATCTTTGATGGCATATTATCAGATAATGACATAGATCTTTATATTATCATTAGAACACTACTAAATTTTATTTTATACCTACAGTGGGACATTGGCAGGCACTCCTTAGGGGCCAAAGCTGAGCCCCTCAAAAATGTAATGCCTCAGTGTTCAAAATTCATGGAAAGCCTTGTCTCATGGGCCGTAGCTTTATCTAACTCTTCCATCATAGTTACATCCACTTGCTTATGGTCCTTGATAGGTATTTTTACCTTTCCCTCTCAAGACTCTTCTGTTGTACCTGGGTTGGGAGACTGGGGCCTATCAGGTGTTCATAGAATTCAGTGTGTATTCATGTCTCCCCAACATCCCTGAACATCCATTATTCTCCCTCCCACCGCATATACCTGGCTACATCGTTAGAAAAGCATGTGTTAACATTTTAGGTTTCTTGCATTTTTCATTTATACGAGATTAAATATGATTATGTGAAGTGTGTTATTTTGAGTGACAAGCCTGTAATGTGAATACAGTAGAAAGTTTATTAGGAATCCTGTGTTAGATGCTTCTTTACACTCTTTGATGCGGGCAGTATTGCCTGCGTCAGATGTACATGGTGCCATTATCTTCAGGTCCTGAAGATGGAGGAAGTATGTACCTCCAAAATGTAGGAAACACTGCCAATATCCACCCACTGCAAAGACCCAAGGACAGAATCAAAATCATATTACACTGATGGATGAAGAGTAGTTGACGAGGAAGCGTATGAGTGATTCGGTTACATATCAATCTTTTTTGCCATGCCTAAAGAAAGATGTGAGGAATGATATTGGTCAAAATTGGTAGGTGGTTGAACAGTGTATTTTTAGGCTTGTACAAATCCCTGCTGAAACACCTGAAGTAAAAAAGTGGAAATCTGTCCTTCTGCCTGCATGATCGACCCATGGGCAGTATAGGGCACATTTGAGCCTAGCAGGGTTCAAATCCTCATTCGACCTAAGGGAAGACTGTATTCCCATCAAGAGAAATAAATATTTAGTCACAGGTTACAGAGCGAGAGAACCCTTTAGTTTAAAATGCCTGTATCAACACCGGATAAGCCTAAGTTGCTGTAAGAAGATGCCTATGTAACCTGAAAATAAACACTTGAAATATTAACACATAAACAAAAATATAATTTCCCCCTTATTTCATTAAATATAGGCATGGGAAAGGAGATAAATTTTGCTTGGTGTTGGCTGCCCCACTTGTTCAGATGTTTATGAGCCACAACTGTGGTGGGAACCAAAGTCACCATACTGAACATTATGTTAAAAAAACAGGGATTTTCTTCTGTAAGACTGCCTACTCAAGGCACATCCAACATTCAGAGATGTTTTTAACCAACAAATGTAAATGACTACTGTAAATTTTTGCTCACCATCTCTTAAAAGCAATTTGACTCTGTATTTTTTTTCTTTTCAGAACCTACTCTCTCATGAACAGATAAATTTCATTCTACACAGAACTTGTGCCCTTTCACCTTGTCAATAGTTTTGGTAGTTACTCCATGACAGACACCTCACTAACTCCCATACTCTGTTGCTTAAGCAGCAGATACACTGGGTCAGAGATGAAGACCAAAACTTTAATGTGCAGCGTGGTCAGGGCTGTCACACAGCTTGGGGTGAGGTTTGGAGGGGGGGGGGGTCAGTGAGATATTAGCATGGAGTGATTTTTAAATGACGATGGGTAACTGGCAACAGAAGGAACCAGGAGAAAAACATACTCTTTACTGTCAGGTTCAATTAGAATGTTCATAAGCAATAATTTTATTTCGACAATTGAGAGCATTTTATGTCTACTAAGTCTTAATTTTGTCTACTACTATTTTGTAAAATTACACGTGAATATATTTCTTTGTGAAGTTCTGGATGAAGCTGTCCTGTTAAGACAGCACACATGAAGTATGTGTAACAAAGGCATAGTGAATCTTTAAGCTACCATAGGTAAATTGGTGGAAAATATGTTATGAGTGCTTAGCATAGATGCGAGCAGACGCTCTGTACTTAGTTCTAAAACGCTTTTTTTTTAATCTGTTGCCTTAAGACGCTGTAACTCTCATTCCTTACCATAAATGTGTGCTTTTCATTCCCCCAGGCTTATCTACTGACCTGGAGGATCTACGTAGTGCTGAGAAACCATTTCCATTCCTAATGCTTGATTTCTGTCAAGGAAACAGTTTCTGTAGCCTAATTAGGCGCCATTTTATAGCATATTGAATGTTTTCAACATATTTCAACAAGCCCTGTAGTGAACATTGGTTTGAGATAACTAAGGAAATGTTGCAGTAGGTTACTAGGCTTTCATATTGGAGTTGTACCACGTAAGAACATGTGGTTGAGGAACTGATGGAAATGAAAGGTAATACCAGGGGAAGATATGATTTTACTTCTCTTCAGCGTACTGATGTATTGCTCCGTTAGTTGGGGCAAGGGGGAGGGAAGTGTTTCTGCAGAAAATCTGATGCTACATAAAATCTGAACCACACCATAAAAAGAAGCAAACCTCTTGAGATTAAAGTGGTAATTGATTTTTTAAATGTTGCAGAGGGCTTTTATATTATTCTTGTTTTAAATATATTTTGTGACCCTTTACATGCTACAATTCATAATTTGTATGCAGCAAACTTAAGATCATCGAGTCACATTCACATCCAAATATAAGTACTAACAACAACTCAACATTAAGTCATGCTACTTCAAATAGAACCTTCTTTCTTATTATAACAGACCATGAAGACTCTGCCATCTGAATATTTCTGTTTTAATACAGAATAAGGAAGACTTATATCTAGCTAGAACTGTTGAAGCTAAAACACTTCTGACATAAGTGCTTTTTGGACATATCAAGGGCGCTGCATTTCTGACTGAATGACATGGATTTTAAATGTACTGAGATTTTTAAATTCTATGAAACTAAACTATGTACATGCTTATGTATACTGTTAATTTTGTATGTTGTAATTACTTTAGGTGAACAGTCATATTTCATTTGCCTTACAGGTTCCTTCTGTCTAGATTTTCATCAGTAAGTATCAGAACAGATTAAAAACGCTATTTTCCATTCACAGCTGAGATCTACCATATCACATCTATAAAAAATGGATATTATTCTAAAGTTTATCATACTCATTAGAAATATCAAACTTTATAGAAGTGAAATATTTGTTACTGTGTTGAATTTAATATGGATCCTAATAGACTTAATAACAACATTGTTCCAATAAAGCATGTCCCAAGATATTTAGTCATGGCTCTTTAGTTCACGTAAAAGTTGCCCTGTGCTTAACTAATTAAGCGCTATGCCATGAAGGCATGTGGCACAGTGGATATATAGACCCATGTTTTCTTGATGTCAGCACTAGTTGGAGGTGAGTGGTCAGCTTCATGCCTTGGCCGATTTAGCCCCAGGGAAAAGGCCCCTGGTACCATTGGATAGGAGGCTGAGTGGGCCACAGAACTAGTCTGGATGACATGAAGCTAAAATTTTTGCCTCCACCAGGACTCAAACACCACCCCCTTGGATGTCCATCCCATAGCCAGTCAATATACCGACTGTGCTATCTTGGCTCTTTATTAGTTCAAGTTGCATACCTTAAAATTACATAATTGTAAACTAATATGGTTTTATGACAGTAATTGGCACTACACTTTGGGTGTTCAGAAACTCCATAAATTGAATGATGAATACTTCGAGCCTTAAAGAGTAGACAATGAGAATTCTTTCTTCCACATCAAAATATGGACAGTGCCATGTGGCTTTGTGCAAGCAAATAAAATGCTGTTCGATTCTAAGGGGTACTGCCGATGGTGTGTAACACTCAGAATTACTGGGTTTTCAGACTTTGTACAGCATCCGGTATTCTAAAAACTAACTGACCTTAATTGAGGTAGCGCTTTCTAAGGGACCCAGCAAAGTAGGTGTCTCCCCCCCTCACCTGAGAAAGGAAACAGGTCCAGTTTCTGAAACATTCTGTTCTCTCATTTTTAGAATACTGAACGATGGACATCTGAAAACCCAGTAATTCTAAAATGCCATTTGCTTAAATATAGTAGTTTACAGATAAAAGATTCTATTTAAGAAATCAAACTGATCTGAAGTATGTGCTTTCTTTACCACTAACTACCAAAGAGAGGAGTGTATTTTCATCATAAATATTGAAATTAGAGTTAGTACTCGTTAACATGTGATAATCTTTTCTTTATTTTAATTTTTATAAGTCAAAGTTTTGGAATCAATGGGTGCATGTATACTTGTTCCACTTTACAGCCATTTCTGCTTATATTTCATAAAAACAGGACTGATTACCATATACTTACAATTACTGAGTTTCTGGGCTAATTATGCCAAAAAGTTACTGCAATTTTTTAGTCTGAAAGGTCATTTTAGGTGCAGTAAAACTAATCTGTTACAGTAAACCGATTAAATTGTCTACATAGTCGATTTAACAATTAACCACCAATTTTGCTACTAAGTAATTTGGCTCACATGCACAAAATTATACCATACAGCTTGTTACTTGACCTTGAAAAACTATTATCTGCTTACAGTTTTCAAATAACATGTTTTCTATTAATCTGACAATAAATTAACCATTTTTTTCATGACAGAATATATTTATATAGATTGATGAAGTTACTAATCACATAATGCCAGGTCAATGGCCAATAAGAATATAAATAATCAGACATATTCAATGAATGCCAGAATTAATTTCTGACATAACACTTTCAAAATCATCACAAAATTAAATTTATTATTGTTGTCAATTTTATTGATATTAGTATTAAGTTTGTACCTGGATGTAAATATTATGGTTTGGAATATTTGTAGTTTGATCCAGTAGCCATGCATTAGAATATGCATCTGAAGTAGTGGATGTACTTCCAGAACAATCTTACAATAGTTTATAATATTATCATACCGTTTTAGCTGATGACTGGTGACTTTTATTTTTCTTAACTTTGGCCAGCACTGTAGTTGTACTTTTTTATCTTACAGGTGTTAAAATTCTTAACTCCAGGTACAGTGCAAGCAATATAATATTGTACATACATGATAACTGGCTTGGCTCTTCAGTCTTTGAATCTTGCGGCAAGTCCATTATGAGATGGTGATGTGGCCCAGTGTAGTTCTGATACATGTGCAATAACAACTCTTTCCATTAATATCGAGACCAAAAACCATAATGGAGCATATTCAAATGTTATAAGTCCTTGAACATTATAATTAAACTCAGAGTAGTCCCATGGGCACGCATTGAATTGCTTCAGTATGAAACCTGTAGAGAACTCCCACATGTACACCCATAACAGGTAACAGATTCCACGAAGCAGAAGGGGCACTCTCGATTTTTTGCAAGCAGCATATATGTGCTCCATGATCATGCCTGATATGCCGTAGATGGCGAGTGACCATACACTTGTGTAACCTGTAACAATAATGAAGGCATGCATCAGGGCTGGGAAACTTCAACCAATGAAGGGCCTCATCATATAATACCTACCTATACTAGGCTGCAATACAAAAAATTGTATCAAATCTGAGATTTTATAGGTTATTAGGTCTCATGTGAAATCTTTGAAAAATTACACAGAATATTTAGTAAGTAATTTTCTTGAAGTTTTATTGACAAGATTGGGTTTTGTTTTTAGAGAAGGACCACATGAACACTTATTTAGTGAAATGGAAGACTACTCTTGTGGGCTACATATGGCTTGTGTCCTGCAACCTCAGCAGATGGTCTCTTGTAGACACAGATTCTCAAATGATGTTCACTATTTATTTTTATGGCTTTTTAGCATAATGTACTACAGTAAGAATTGGTATATGGGCTGAGCAGGAATAGCTTTACAGGGCCTCTCTGGAATAAACTTCAAGATGCTTTTACAAATCCATTTTATTTTTGCAATTATATTATTTGATAGTGATAATGATAATTAAAATGAGCACATTTTATGAAAATTATTATGCATCTTCTTCCTTCTCTCAGTGGATGGCTGAACAGTTAAAACTTATAAGGAACCATTATTTTACTATACAGATAATCTTACCTGGGAGTTTCCAGTTGCCACTGATGATAAACTCCCAGCCCGCAGTAAAAAGGACTTCAATGAAGAAGCCATGGAGACCATATATGTACAGTCTGAGCCACAGTGCCAGGTTTGAGCTACCATGTTGGGTTCGTGAGACCTGAAGCATCTCAGCTCCTGCATATAAACAGAATCATCATCATCATCCCTAACAACACTAAGTCTACCTAAGTCCCTAAGGATCTTAAAAACAGACACTTCTCTACTTTTTAGGGTTATTAACCACCCTCTTTCTTTGTATTGATGCTTCATATTTTCAGATATGCTCATATGTCACAAATCCATACTGTACTTTTCAGTTGCTTCTGCAACATTTTATGAAAGCTATTATTGGTAAAACTTGGTAGTTATGTCATTATTTTTTCACCTTCATGGCTTAAAATTGTATATAGTCAACAGTCTCCCTCATGAAATGCATCTAATTTAATTTCAGTTTTAGGAAATTTTACCAGACTGATCTACTAGTATTTCCATTCATGATGTACATTCTGCCCTAGATAATTACACTGATAAAAAAATGCAGTTCATTAATTACTGTTTGATAACGCTTGTGAATTAAGAAAAGTAAAGTCTTCTTCCTTGTAACACCATGTAGTTCTGTAGAGGTCCAGCAATATTTCAGAGGAACATATCACTTCCATATTCAGGCCACCTTTTCCGTGCATATTTCTAACTAGACCTACTCTTCGATAGTGAAGCTGGAGGCCTACATTCCTGTGAAACTATAGTGAACTAATAACGAACTTCACACCATTACAACCAAGATCATACTGTTCATAATCACTCTGTGAAAACCTCAAATCCAACTGGTAAATTGATTTCACTGGCAATCAGTGAAGGAAAAATGAAATGCTGAAGAGAATTCTGAGAAAATTTTGTGTACTACATATTCCTGTAATTAGTGAGAGTAAATTTGGCTTGGACTGAGAGGGGACGTGATCTCTATACCAGTTCAGAAGCCACTTGAATAATCTCATGATCCAGAATTTGGTGATCGCAATTTTTATCTCCATAATCACGTAACCAGTTTTTTATCTTCTTCCTGTTTTGACTATCTACTCAAAATTTAGCACTAGAATTACATTGTTACATGATTCATTACATATTAGGCAGACGGTTGAGCAACATTCGGAATTGTTCTAGATATTGTAGTGACAATAGCAATTCAGACTCCCCCACAGGGATTTTAACTCCTACATTCTAATGTTTAGCTAATTGTATATACAAAGAAGTAATTTGTGAAGTACAGTAATAATTATTACTGTACTTCACAAATATACATATATGTATTTATGTATCATTCATTATAATGAATGATACAGAAATACATATTTGTATATGAGTGACTACATGCATGAATGAACACAGATGATGTGCTGGATATCGGCCAAGAAATATAATTTCCTCAGTTTACATTCTGTCTGCGTGAATTATCACTCATCAGAGTACAGTGTTCTTCAGGCATACTCATGACATGTAGCTTAATGTGATTGTTCTAAAGCATACTGTGATGTAGGCGAGATTATATATTTGAATATGTTCCTTATGACCCACTTTGTCAGTATTTGAACACCTGTCATCTCTAAACAATTAAAAAACACGCACATTTATATAATGCCCTTCAAGATTCAGGCTCAGTGTGCTGTCTCTTTCACAAACTGTCTGCAAATGAATTGCCCTCTTTGGCATTCAGATATAAATCTTGATCCCTTGTAGTCGTTTATCATTTCTCAGAGGCGGCAGAGAGAGACTGTGTTGAAATTTATAAATAAAGTATAAGCCAAATCTGTGTTATTTCAAGGCATTACGTTGCTATGTGTGCTATCATACATCACATTTTGAAACACAGAAAGAAATAATGACACGTGTATCTCGTTTTCTTCGAAACATTTTAAAGCTGAATGTCTCAGAAGAGTGGTTAAAACTTTGTCCTATGTAGGAGATACCGGGTTCAAAACTTTGCCCTGTAATCAGTTATTCTGATGGGATTTCATAATTGCTTGTAGTCTCTCCATGCAAATCCAATGATGATATTGTAAAATATCATACGGCCACCTCCTTACATTCTTTTTAGTTTGTCATTCACAAATGATTCTACCGTTTGAAGCCGCGTAACCTATATGGTTGTCAAAAAAAAATGAAATTGTTCCTGTACTTAACTAATTAAGCACTACTCCATGAAGGAGTAGGGGAGTGGATGCATATACCCATTTTTTCTTGACCTCGACACTAGTTGCAGGTGAGTGGTCAGCTTCACACCCCAGCCACTTTATTCCCAGGGAAAGATCCCCCAGTACCCACTGGATAGAAGACTCGGTGGGCCCCAGACCTGGTCTGGAGGACTTGGAGAAGAGAAAATTCTTGACCCCATTGGGACTTGAACTTCGTCTCCTCGGTTGTTCAGCCCTTAGCCAAGCATCGTTAATTAATGCAAGAATCAAGACTTAATCATACAAAGAAATTTTCCATATTGAATCTATTGTTATACAAAGTGCATGTAATGTTTAGTGTAGTACCTTGAAATACTTTACTGAATAACACACGATCCACTGGTGACCCACGGGTGACATCTGGCTTGCAAAGCCCTGTTTATTGGACTTAATGTCTTCAAAGAGAACAAATCTGTGAATCTCCGCCATTGCTTATGTCACACAGAGTGAGGAGTACAGCTTTCCAGGACAGTTGATATTGACACAATGTATCGATACGTATTAATAAATGTTAACATTTGGTGAATGCTGCCAAACATAGGCAATGAATGTTGACATTCGCTGATTTTTTGTATACGTTCAAAACTATTGATAGTTATACCAAACTGAATGGTATCCCACAAGAGAGCAATTCCTAAAATTCATATTTATCTGTAAATTTTTTGTAAATCTTGGGTTCTGCCAACCATACTGGATAATATTCAAACGGTCAAGAACAAGAAATTTTGTGAATACAAAGGCTTCCTCTCCAGTCCATCTCAAGAACCTGCTGCTGGCCTCATCAGCACAGTCGTTTTTGGTTTCAAGACCCATCGGAACCCATGAAGCTAATTTATGTTCGTTCCAAGATCGTTTATGTGTTTGAAAGTTGTGTCTCCCATTCAACGAGAGGGTGAGTTTGTCATTCTGAATAGTTGCCACCTTAGTTGCATCGTAATTTTGTATGAGTGTACTCGCACCGTATCTCACAGGTTTGGGTATTTTGACTTACTCCAATCCATATATACAGTTACAGAATTTCGTCAATCTGTTTTCTCGCCCTATTTCTTCCAAACGGAGCGTCGTTGAAGGAAATAGTTAAGGACAAACGATATTCCTCATTGAGAGATAAATCAGGGAAATCTACTAATTTTGTTGACGCGTGAGTGGAGTCGAGTAGAAGCCAATTTATATCCCTATTACTTCCCCCATAAGCAAGGAATTGGGATCGTAACAACAATGGGATCATTGCTAGGATACGGATGGGAACGCACACTATTTTCTACTGTTGATACAGTGGAACTCCAAAATTTCCTCTGCCTTTGCTAGGATACATAAAAAAAAAGTTTCCTGCCACTACTATATGAGGGAGAGAAATTACGAAAGGGCACATACATATAATTGGAATGGGAAACGAATGCGTGAGAAGAGAAGGAAAGCGAAGAAGGTAGGAAACGTGTAAAGGTACAGAACAAAAGATGCGAGGAAGGTATTTTAAAGTGAATGACAGGGAGGAAGGAAATGATAGGATGGAAAAGAGATAGAAAAGAAATACAGGAGAAAGGCGAGTAATTATTATCCCCCATGAAATCTGACGGACGAAATGCGTATCTAATTTTCTCGACAAGCATTTTATGAAGGAAGGTAACACAGTACAAGAAGAAATCTTATTCCCGTTATTAAGATTCGAATATTATACATGAATGAAATCGTATTCTAAAGAGGTCGTATGCCTTAAGCGATAATATTAAGTAGATGTTAAATTATTTATAGCTGGATTATCGATAGGTTTATAATTTAACTTCATTGCTCTGCTAATGTATGACTAATCACTGTATCCGCGACCCCAAAATGGAGCTGAGGAAGAATATGGGCCAAGAGCCGCTGTGCAGTGTGTGTGTACCCAGTTTGCGCAGGTGCAATACGAGTTAAAAAGATTTGAACGCATCCGGTGTGAAGTACATGCATCATTGTTCTGCTGATATTCCTACTGCAGTCAGGCGCGCGATTTTAGCTTCGCTGTACCCCTCCCTAAGCAATCCTTGAAAAACTTACTTAAATGTGTTACTTTTGGTTCTTTCTAGAAATAATTAATAAATTCTCGTATAAATACCCGAAAGGCTCATCGCCACTAATACCAAGGTCAGCCAGTGGACATGACCTTGAAAGTTCCATCTACTTTCCAGCGTCGCAACCGATTTCCCTAAAGGCGCGTCCACATTACTCGTGCTCGTGCGACTCGCTATGCTCGCGAGTAATGTTGACGATATGACAAGTCAAGAGACAAGCAAATTTTTAATTTAAAAACTATAGCCAATAAATTAAAATACGATTACAGCCTATACACACTACGAGTAAATATACGGATCCTTACGCGCCGAAGCCTGGCGAGCAACCGAAGTAGTGTGGACGAAGATTTACGAGCACGAGTAATGTGGACGCGCCTTAACATACATACATCATAACATCTTTCCTTCTCTCTGGGCTTTGAAGGCTTCGAAATTACCACTTTAAATATTTTATTTTCTCCGCGAAAACACTCTTCTTCTGTACCTGAGCTTCATACTTAACATATCACAAAATTCTCGATTTGTGAATTCTGCTTAAATTGGCTCTGGAGCCTGTTCACTCTCCTGTGTCATGACTACTCTCCCGCTATTTCAATAATGCCAGGTCATGGGTCTAAATTTACAAGCCCCGTAAGGGGTAGCGTTAAAGCCGAGGGGTAAATTAAAGATTACATTGAACCTTAGATAAATGTCAAAATGACACATTTCACAGGTTACAGGAATTCTCACCACCACTGAATCCAGAGTAGGTGCTTGTTCTTTCTGTATAGTTGCAAGAACTGGAATTATAATGTTCTCTACAGGAGTTAAATCTTTCAGTTCAACATAAATTCACATAATCACAAATAACATTCACAATCTTATGAAAAACCAACTCAGTCATAGAAAAATATTTCAGATACAAATTGAATTTATCGAGTAGAATGCAACGATGATATTCTACGCATTTTTCATCTTGTACAACACCTACTGTCTATAATTTTGGAAACTGTACCCTACGTGTGAGAATATTGGCCCACATTTTTATTTGAAATGAATGTGCTCGTATTCCGTCACTTCTAGTTCAGTTCGCCATTTAAACGTTGGCGTTACTGAAGCATTATATACGAAATATAGAGTATGCATTTCGAAATGTTACTTATAAACAAAAAAAAAAAAAAAAGTTGTAATTTTTTGTTATTAATGTATGAAAAATAAAACCATACACTTTAAGAACCCATCACTCTCTGCTAGACAAGTACCCTTAGAACACGTAGATGAATATTCTTGTTGGTCGCTTGTACTTCCGGGTTGTATGCTAAGCACTCGGATGCTATTATCAATTCTCAGATCGAATTTTACTCGTAAGCTGCTCTTTCTGTCCCGGTTACCACTTAAAAATTCTGTCGTTAGTACGCGGCTCTTATTTACAACTCCTCTTCCAGTACATAGCTGCTATTTCAGTACTGAGGTTCAATCTGAGTTTTGCTAACCTTTGCTTTGCGTTGTTATGATGCGGTGAGTACTTCCTTGCGACTGAAACCACTCACCTTCGTTCTTCGTGTCGGTTTGTCTGTTCCTGGTGCCGAGATTACAACTGGAAGGTGAGCCTCTAGCCATAAACACTTTTATAAAACTGTGGCAAGGTCGATATAGTTAACAGATTTCGCTGTAAATGAAGCTAAATTTTGGTACCAGTAAATATACGGCGTGAAGAGGAAATTTTATTTTCCATTGCGGTAAGAATCGATGACATGTTGTTGTCATTGTGCACTTCTTTGCGGTTTTAGAGCTTAATATTACATTTGCGTGACTTAGTTTCTCATACATTGCCTCTGGTGTTCGTTGGAATTGCTTTGCTAAGAATGTAAAATAGGTTAAAAGACAGTGGTGGGAAAAGCGATCATTCCAGTATCTCCTTATCACGGCATCCGATACAAACTGACCTGAAGGAGAGTCTTTATTTTTGGTTTAGTAAATTACAGAAATGCCGGTCACGGTACCCGAGCGGTCTAAGGCATATACTGTCTTCACTCGCTTGGAAACCGGGATCGTGGGTTTGAATCCCACTCAGGGCATGGATGTTTAGTTTGTTTGTGTACAGGTAGAGGCCTTGCGACGAGCTGATCACCCGCCCAAGGAGTCCTACCGAATGTGTAAGATCTAGAAAAACCGAGGTGAAGGGAGAAGTTCATGGAGGTAGGCCTAGACCCACTGAGACTGTAGTGCCAAAGGGGGGGGGGAAACATTTACAGAAATAGCAATCAGCACCATTCACTGACAGTCACAGCATTAGGTTACATAGGGTCTGCCATGATTATAAAATAGGACACGCCAGGATCCTTATATTAAAACATTAATATCGCTCACATTTAATGAAAGGGAGCCGAACTAGTGCAGTCGGTGTAGCGACTGACTGCGGGCTGAACGACCGAGGGGTTGGAGTTCAAGTCCCAGAAGGGTCAAGAATTCTCTCTTCTCCACGTCGTCCATACTGGCCTTTGGGCCCACCCAACCTCCTATCCAATGGGAACCGAAAGCTTTTCCCCGGGGATTAAGCTACCAAGAAAATCTGGATCTATACATCCCCTCCCCAATACGCCTTCATGGCCTAGTGCTTAATTATAGTTAAGCACAGGGACAACTTCAACTTTTTTTTTTCTTGGCACTACAGCCCCAGTGGGCCTAGGCCTACCTCCATGAACTTCTCCCTTCACTTCGGTTTTTCTCGATCTTACACATTTGGTAGGACTCCTTGGGCGGGTGATCAGCTCGTCTCAAGGCAACTTTATTTTACCTTTTACATCTAATGAAATAAATTTAGTTTGTTTCAAAATAAACGTCGCAATTTAACAGCAATTTCTCAACTTGAATTTCTTTATACATTAATGGAACTGAAATTCAAAACAATTTTATGTGCAAATCCAGATTTCTTCCCAAGAAATTCATTATTTTTTTTAATATTCTGAATTAGAAGTCAGGGAATTTAGAGAAAAAAAATGCTTCCATTTTTCCTAACATTTTAAGAATCTTTGATATCAAATTCATCGTTGTAATTTAATTGAGTAACTAGCTCCGAGAAGCAGAGCCCTTCTTGAGAAGTTAAAGTCCGCCCCTAGTGAAAAAAATTCCCCTATTTTACTGAAACCGAAAGCTTACTGTCGTATTTAAAACAGTCAGCATGGTCCACAGGAATCCAGTATATACCCATCCTATCTAAGGTAAATTCTTACAGCATCCTCCCATCCACGTCAGGTGGTCGTTTCCTTTCAGGTTTCCAGACTAAGATTTTGTATTAATTTCCCGTCTTCCCATGTTTGTTACTTGTCTCACCCATTTCATCCTCGATCTGATCATACTGAGAATTGCTATAAAATATACCACAAGTATAACAGAGCACACAAACACATAAAGTTCCAGACTTATTATTATTATTTTTTTATTAACGTTTTAAAATTATTGTATACATTTTCTGATAGTTCCGAACGTCCTGCTTTGCCCTGGGTACAGCACATTTTTGCCTTGATGAGCTTATTGCTTGTGATAAACCTGTGCACAGTTCTGTTGTTGTCCAAAGGGACTGAGGAAGATAATGTAAAGATTAAATTAGGATTACCAGTCACCGGATTGCTAATCACAGCGGCCGCTCGGTCTAAGGCATGAAATATCTTCGCCCCCTCGAATACTGGGATCGTGGATTCGAATTCCACTAAAGGCATGGATTTCTGTTCGTGTTTATCCTGTGTTTGTATCAGGTAGCAACCTTGCGAGAGGCTGATCCCCCGCCTAAAATGTACTATCGACTGAGAGAAACTGAGGTGACATGAAGCGTTTGACGGTGCCCTATGCTCAATTTGCGATCAACAGGAAGACGATTATAAGTCCCAGGATTCAGTATGTAGACTTAATGAAATATAAGAAAATTTTGGGCATAGTATTTTGTAATAGGTGCATTTATTGAGGGCCATAGCTGGCTGTTCAATTTCAACGTTCTCTACTTTGTATAACTGTGGGCTTTGTGTGCGATATTCACTTTTCAGTGGTTCAGCGGTATCAGATAATCGCACAACTGGAATATCAACGAGACTAGAGCTCGTCAAGAACGTAGGCAAACAAACAAGTGTTTACATCCACAAATTTTTCATTTCTAATTATTTTAAACCGATACTGCCGTAGCGTAGTTGGTTGAGGCACTATGCTACAAGCCGGAAGGTCGCGGGTTCAAGTCCCGATGAGGTTATAGGATTTTTTTTTCAATTGACCTAATCCTTCCAACCGCACTATGGCCCTGGGGTCGACTCAGCCTCTAACAGAAATGAGTACCAGGAATATTCTTGGGGGTAAAGGGCGGCCGGCGCGTAGGGGTGACAACCTTGCCACCATCTATGAGCCGATTGTCTAAAATATGTTTGAACCTCAACATCTCACAACCCTATGGGCCTCCACGGCCTGTTACCTTTACTTTTTACATTTTTATTTACCCTCTAGTTACAGGACTATAGAAAAACGAAAGCACCCACTGGTCTAATCTGTCTGGCAGATACTTTTTTGGTATTTGTGTGATTACATAGCCGCTGGCCGACAGAATACGCCACTGCTTCATCAGAATACCCGTATGCTACGAATCTGAAAAGCAAATTCACGTAGCAAGGGAAATCAGGAGACCATGCGAAGGTGTATTCTCGTATTACGGGCTATAAATCAGATTCACGGGTAGGATGAGCTGCCTATAAAATATAGATACGACTTCCTGTGCACGAGGATTTCAGACTTGCAGATAGCGCATTACAGGTTCCATCATAAGTTCGCAACGCTCGAAGTAATCTCTGAGGTGGTCTCAGCTTGTCTCAACTTTCAACATAGGTAAACAAAAACACACGAAATACACACAGCGTATGAAGGTTGTACTGCAGCAATTTTTGAAGCTTTTCCTTGGAATAAAATGACAAATTCATGTATCAGTTTTTAAGTAGTGTCATCATCAACGTAGACATTTAAATATTAATAAATCCTTAACATTATGATTAACAATTTATTTAGTAAGGCTCTTTGCTATCGAGTTATCGTGAAGCATTCTTTAAATTTCAGCGCAATATGAAAAACTCCTTGTTGATTTGCCGTTTCTATTTCTCTATCCTTCTGTCCATTTTGGCTTCTGAAAATCTGAAGTGAATGTCTGTACGTTTACAATTAGCCCACTTCAGAATGTGTGTAGAGGTCATGCTTACATAAGCAGGCCTACCGTACCTTCTCATTTCTACGCCGTATGAATTTTTTATTTAGGCTTTTTCTATTCGTACTCTGACATTATGGTAGAGGGTTATACTTGAAAAGTTTACATTTTCTCAGCTGTGAAGAAAGTTTGCATTTTTGTATGGAATCCGAAGGTTCATCACGATGGACTCACCCTGCGCTAGCTTGATCCTATATCTTTATAGTATATTTTAATATTATCCTGCCACATATAAATTGTTGTCAAAACTATTCACGTATTTTGAGATCCTTGATCAAAACCTTGTATCATTTTCTAATTTCCTCTGTGAATGCAAGAAGGAAACACTTCAATTCATAATAGAGTACCGAGGATTTAAGTACCTTGTATTTTTATAACTCTGCCTACTTCAACTACATGTATTCTGTCTCTGTCTCATCTGTAATTTGTAATTTCAACTTTGCTGTTTGACAGCCTAGGTGCTGTAGTCTTCCGTTTTGTAAAATCTTATTTTATTTTAGTCTAACGATGAGAAAAATAGAAAATTCCTAACTAAATAACTTAAGACCACTATGTATTTGGTGTTAACAAGAGGAAACTGCGGATGGAATGTAACCACAGATCTGTTAAAGTGATTACATCGTTGATATGAGAACCAAACCATGGAAAGTTTGTCGTAACTTGTTTGGAATTGTAAGTAAAAACTAAAATAATTACGTATAAGTACACAGAATGAATATTGTACTCAGTTGACATATGCACATTTGCTGCATAAAGATTAAACTCGTTCACATCTGCAGCAGCCATATTGTAACACGAAGTAGTGTTTTGAAAGAGATGGGGGCTTCTTTTATCAGATTTATAAGAAATCTTTCGTAATCCAAGAGGAGCCCTAAAATACAAACTGTAACAGTATTAGCCATTCACACAATCCCTCATTTTTTGAGACATAAAGACCAAAATCTCGTAATTCAAAAGACATAAACAAATTTTAACATATTATACGTATAATGCACCAAATGTATCACTGTAATTTTGACATCCTCATATGTCGGCTGGTTGCTAAAGCAGAGTACAGTTTGGCTGCAAAGAAGAGTCATGTTTATTTGTATGTCACAGGCATTCTGTCTAATTTGTGTATTTTATTTAAAGTAATTAACATGGAACATTCCGTCTCCTCACGGGGTTCAGATTTTTTCCCCCCCTTGGCACTACAGCCCCAGTGGACCTAGGCCTACCTCCATGAACTTCT